AAGTTACTTAGGACAGTTTAACAGTAAAATTCACTGGACTGCTGCAAAACGGGTCCTACGCTACTTGAAGGGAACTATGACCCTTGGGCTTCAATATGGACCTGATCAAGAATCTTTAAAAGGCTTCGTCGACGCCGATTGGGGAAATTGTCTGGATGACCGCAGATCATTCTCAGGATATTCATTTATTTTATCTGGATGTCCAATATCGTGGGATTCGAGGAAACAACACACTGTTTCATTGTCTTCTACAGAGGCAGAGTACATTGGAATGTGTGAAGCCTCAAAAAAAGCAATATATTTTTATAATTTTTTAAATGATCTGGGACTAAAAAATCTACCTGATATTGTTATCTACAATGATAACCAAAGTGCTCTTAAGCTTGCGGATAACTCAATGTTTCATAGTAGGAGCAAGCATATAGACTTAAGATTTCATTTCATCAGAGAAGCTATCAGAAGCAGGAAGTTTCAAGGAAAATACTTATCAACTCATTCAATGCCTGCTGATATATTTACTAAAGGACTAACTAGATCAAAGCATACTACTTGTGTTAATCTATTAGGTCTAATACAAACATGATAATGCTAAATGTCAATCACGACTCGAGGGGAAGTGTTGGAGAAAGTCTACTAACTATGCACTACATTGGATGCTGTTCAAGCGAGCCGTGATAGTTTGAAGAAAAGTCAGTCAAGATTATCAAATAACTTGTCATTTTCTTGATATTTATATTTTTGTAATTTACGTTAATAAATACGTTTTCTACTGTGTATCCTTAAGTATTTCGATCCGAGTAAAACCTCGACAATTACTGAATGTCTTCTCTCACGTAATGCAGCTCTGCTCTTGTTCCATGATCAAAAGAGTTTTGGTATACACAATTTTATATCAAAGTTATCTCCGATAAGACACTTGTGTAAAAGTTGGGTTTGACGTCCTCCTACGATGTTGCAAGAATGGTTTTTAGGAGAATTAGGAGACTTTGAGGCAGAATATGAGTGTACCGGCGAGAGTTGGAAGAGTTTAAATCTACAAATTTGACTGTCATAGATGGTTCGATTAGTAGAGGCGTCGACGGTTCGAGTCAGAGGTTCCAAGTTCGATCCCTTGCCGATATACTCATCTTCTTGTCTTGATGTCTCAATTTTTTAATTTTTCTTTGGTTTGTTTTCACTTTGGGGACTTGTAATTGTAACTAAATAACTTCCTGAAATATCGTCCAAGTCTATTAGAGATTAATTATAATGACGTTTCTATCTTTAAAATTGTACATGTAGGTAAATATTATATATTATTTTTTAATTAAGACTAGTTTTACTATACACTAAATTTATCAAGCTGGATGTTTACAAATTTATAATAAGGGAACAAATAGAACACCCACTAGGGGTTGTTTAAGTTTTTATTAACATGTTGTTTATTGGAAGAGTAGAAAATAATCAATTATTCAACCCTATCAGCATATTAGTTTTTATGCGGTAATATGTTGTACCACGCTACCCATGTAGCACACTGACGTTATTTATTGGTCATTTGTTACGTTATTTTTCACCAAAGATATGACGTCATTATGTCACCGTCCAGTGACGTCATTTTGTGACGTTATTATGACATCAATTTATAACGTTAGTTGTGTTTAAAAGAAAGCTCTAGGGGCTTATAGAAAATAATGTTCCAAATAGATAATAATCAACTCTTTATTATAAAATAATACCTAATATGTAGAATATTATTTAACACCATGAGTACTGGAAATAAAATTACAGAAGAAACTGAAAAAAATAATTACTGCAATAGTAGCAAGTTCTTTTATAAATAAATCAATTACTCACTTATGTCTTTTACATCCATTGTTAAAGCAAAATTGTATTATTACTTATTGTAAACAATCGCTAAAATACAACATTTTTATGCTCTAAAATACATAACTTAAGGAATATCTTACCTAATAACAACAAAACTAAGGTTATAAGATGCCACTTTTTTACAACACACCAATCACACCATGTTCATGTTAACACAACCTAACTTTTTCTATTCTCTTCTTTGCCTTTCTCGTATTTGGCCCTCAACCGATCAGCGACCAGCTATCAAAATAAAAAATTACAAATTTCTCTTGATAGGTGACAAAAAATTGTTTCTTTTTTCTGGAAAAAGAGATTCATTAACTTTGTTTGCACTCTAATTAAATTTAAAAATGTATGACCAAAATATGACGTATATATGACGTAAAAAAATTACGTGATGTCGACGTCACATTTATGACGTCTCTGAGACGTAATTCTTAGCTGATGTTACGTCCGCGACACCAAAAAATTACGCCACGGTGACGTCAGTGTGCTATCTGGATTATGGGGTTACGGTTCTTGGTTATGGTTTTATTAGTGTCCACATTGTAACATAATCTTCCCTATGCCTGCTTCCATACTGTCTCTCCACGCATTAACTTTCTTGGACTCTTGTTTTCTCTTCCTTTTTTCTAGACTTTCAATTGTTATGGCACATTAGGGACATATAATTTGCGGGGTAATCATATTCGAATTTTGCGCATTTTGCAAGCGTGTCTCTTATTGTTATGCATATTCTAATGAGATGATCACCTATACGAACTTCAAGCACTTTGCTAACTGACCACAGGGACTCATTGCACGTCCCCACATGTGGCAGTAGTGACATTGAATCAGACTCTTCACCGATCTTCTGAGCTCTCAGATAAAATTCTTGTCTGCATTATCATCTTAATATTTCGGTTTAGTTCAACAATGAACAACTACTAGACCAATTTTGTTTAAAAAAACTGAATTGCATCCAAATTCTTCTGAAATAGTATGAGAGAGTCTAGTTACAAGGATTATGTATAGTTTTATTTCGGAATTAACATAGGGCTCTAAAATACACAAAATACATTAAAAATTACATCAAGTATATTTGCATTCTAAGTAACAATTTAAAGTATATTTCTGGTTGCAACTATTATTGTAGCTGAAGATGGTACTCCATTTATTTACAGTGTGGCAGCGGTTTAAAGCAGAAATATTAGTACCACCACCTGGTTTATTCATAATACGCGTGCTCCTACCTCAGATAAATAAACTCGCACAAATCATTCCCGCTCAATTTAGCATCCGTTTTGCTCTTTGTAATGTGGCAGCCTATGTGACAGCTCCATTTGTCTAATATATAACAAAATCTAATTGTTTGCATTAAATAAGGCCTCATGAATGAATGGATTAGGGCCAGTCTTTTCACCTCTGAGTAAAGTTGAAAGTAACTGCTGATTAAACTATAGACTATCGTTCGCTAATCTGTCAAGTAAACCTACGTGTAACTTTACTCAGAGGTGAAAAGATCGGCCCTAGTCTAGTAGTTTTTCGTCGTTGCTTTTGGTATTCCACAGTTAATGATGAATTCGTTATCATTAAATATAAAGTCTTATTTGTAGAATCTTTGGGTAAATCTCGTAGTTGCTTGCCAGATCTTTCCATTCCCGTTGTAAGGTCCCTTAGGACGAAAGCGTGGGATTTGTCCTGCTCATGTATGTAGGTATGATGGAAAATCTACTTGGATTTTATATTACTGATGCGGCTCAGAGATTCTCAATCATGTCCTTATAATTACTGATGACACCTTCATCACGATCGATGGTATTATCGTCTTTTTGGCATTTTTCTTTGGCCCCACCTGATTTATCGAGCTTTATCCTTGATTTTTATGGATGTATGGTTTTACTCTTTATACTCTCAGGTTGTCTTCTTCTATTTCATCCTCTCTTGAGTCATCAAAGAGTGGTTGAATATTATTTTTGTTTTCAACGTCGATCTCGTCTTATGTTTTAATAAATGTTTTAGTATGGGACCTTCTTTGAAGTTTTGTATTTGTCACCGTCTTTATTTTTGTGCACATCTATTTTTTTCATTTCTGTTAAGGAAGTCTTATTCTTAATCGACCTCCTGTGTAAGGATCGGCTATTTAGGGTGTATACATTCGTAATGATTTGTATCAAAGGCCCTGGTAAAATTGTCGATACTTTCGTTTTCTAACATTATTACGTCCTCGGTAACGAAGCCCAGGTCTCTTCAAGTAACGTGGCCCGAGTTTTCGGCGATTTTGAGTGGATTTTTCATTCTATTAATTTTTGTCTGATTCATCGCGCCGTGTCCACTTCCGAGGGTTGGTGGCATGCGTTCTCCTTACGTTCGAGCCATGCTACTTTCTTGAGATTTCTGTCAACTTTATTTTCATGTTAGTGAGTCAGTGAGTCAGGCGCGGCTCATGATTAAAATTTTTGGGGTTTACAGTAGCAGAATATAGATCCCGGTACAGATATAGGTAAAAAAGCTGTCAGTGTTTTAGAAATATGTATTATAAACTTTCTAAAATACTGAAAGTTTTTTTTATAGATCTGCACTGATACGTATATTCTGTCACTGTGAACCCCCAAAATTTTGGCCACGAGCCACCACTGTCTCCTACCGTGGTCAAGCCAAATCTCTAAATCTGTTACCAATCGAATATGTGTGGGATATCATGTGAATAAGAGGGACCAATTTTCCTCATGTGTTTATAATATCGATGTGGTCCAATACAAGTTAATAAATAAGGTTGATAATTTAACGCAATAATACATTAACCAATGAAAATAATCTTTTCAAACACCACGCGAGATAAAAAAATGTTTAAGAACATTTTATTATTTTCTTACAAATTAGGCAAATTTCACTCTACGAAATCCTCCTATTTTAAGGTGATTTTATTTCATGAAATTTAGACGTATAATTTCCAAAGAATTCTTACCTCTTGTAGTATTCTTACCTCTTGTGGTATTACCCTTGAAAATTTAATTAGTTACGACTCTTCCAATAAGCAAAAAACTTTAAAACATTAAAATGGTTCTATTTTCAATGAAACTTAGTATAATATTTTTTGTAAAACTCTTTAAAAGACGCTTATACGTGTAAAATTAACTACTTAGTAATGAACACAAATAAATAAACACCTTTCCCAGATCAATAATATTTTCAATATTGGGATCCAAAGTTATTTCTTCACCACTTTGATCAATATACTGTATTTTACATTCAACTTCTAAACACGTTGTCGAAACGTTTAATGTCAACGGAGTTGTCATTCTGTCTACGACACACTGTACAGAAAATGTCGACTCTCCTACTGTTTCAGCATTATAGATTAATCTGAAAAAATAGTAAATATATAATAATAATCTCAATATCTAATCAACTATACCTAAACATCATTTTATATTTTATAATTAGGTATAAACTACATAATAAGTGGTTTTTTATACGCTGTTGCTAGGTACACGCTAAAGTGTACACAACTCAAAAAATTATGTACACGCGAAACGTCATATTGCTGTGGTGGGAGGTGTTTGTGTAAATTCGTCTTGTTTGTTTTCATTTACGCCGTGACTAGCAGTAGTATTTTATAAACCTTAGAAGCAAATTTTACATACATGAACAAATAATAATAATGCCATAACAACAAGAAAACGAAGCAACGACTACTCGTAAAGTGGCGGCTTCGCTGCTACAAAAAATTTTTAATCCATACCTAGCTAGGCCGACCGACATTAATACCAACGGCCTGCACACAGCTCACCTACTCTGACAAGACGTTTCGCGTGTATATAACTTTTTGAATTGCGTACAAGTTAGCATGTACCTAGACACTGTGTTCTTTATAATATAACTTTTGTCACTTTACGTTAACATAGGATGTTTTATCAGTTATTGTAGCATAGTATCATTTTGATGTTAGCCGTCCTACTTTTTGGTTATACATACAAAACATTAAATTCCTTTATTGGTTTACAATGCCTGAATAAATATAGCTAAATACCTTACACTAAGTATAAAGAGAGGACTCGTAACGTCGCAGGAATTGGTGTTTCATTCTGACACCAATGCTATTTGACCAGAAGCGTAACGTGTTGGACATATAACAATGAACTTTTATTTATGTTATTAGTACTGATTGATATTTTTAGGTATAAAGCAGATTCAAAGCGTAAAAATTAAAATGATTGAGATACAATAAATAAGACACAAGAAAAATATACAAGGTGCGCTACGCTCAATGGGACAGAGCCTGTTGCGTAAATTACAAACGATAATAAAAATTGCTTTGTCGTCTATCGTCTATCGTCTATCGTCTATCGTCTATCGTCTATCGTCTATCGTCTATCGTCTATCGTCTATCGTCTATCGTCTATCGTCTATCGTCTATCGTCTATCGTCTATCGTCTATCGTCTATCGTCTATCGTCTATCGTCTATCGTCTATCGTCTATCGTCTATCGTCTATCGTCTATCGTCTATCGTCTATCGTCTATCGTCTATCGTCTATCGTCTATCGTCTATCGTCTATCGTCTATCGTCTATCGTCTATCGTCTATCGTCTATCGTCTATCGTCTATCGTCTATCGTCTATCGTCTATCGTCTATCGTCTATCGTCTATCGTCTATCGTCTATCGTCTATCGTCTATCGTCTATCGTCTATCGTCTATCGTCTATCGTCTATCGTCTATCGTCTATCGTCTATCGTCTATCGTCTATCGTCTATCGTCTATCGTCTATCGTCTATCGTCTATCGTCTATCGTCTATCGTCTATCGTCTATCGTCTATCGTCTATCGTCTATCGTCTATCGTCTATCGTCTATCGTCTATCGTCTATCGTCTATCGTCTATCGTCTATCGTCTATCGTCTATCGTCTATCGTCTATCGTCTATCGTCTATCGTCTATCGTCTATCGTCTATCGTCTATCGTCTATCGTCTATCGTCTATCGTCTATCGTCTATCGTCTATCGTCTATCGTCTATCGTCTATCGTCTATCGTCTATCGTCTATCGTCTATCGTCTATCGTCTATCGTCTATCGTCTATCGTCTATCGTCTATCGTCTATCGTCTATCGTCTATCGTCTATCGTCTATCGTCTATCGTCTATCGTCTATCGTCTATCGTCTATCGTCTATCGTCTATCGTCTATCGTCTATCGTCTATCGTCTATCGTCTATCGTCTATCGTCTATCGTCTATCGTCTATCGTCTATCGTCTATCGTCTATCGTCTATCGTCTATCGTCTATCGTCTATCGTCTATCGTCTATCGTCTATCGTCTATCGTCTATCGTCTATCGTCTATCGTCTATCGTCTATCGTCTATCGTCTATCGTCTATCGTCTATCGTCTATCGTCTATCGTCTATCGTCTATCGTCTATCGTCTATCGTCTATCGTCTATCGTCTATCGTCTATCGTCTATCGTCTATCGTCTATCGTCTATCGTCTATCGTCTATCGTCTATCGTCTATCGTCTATCGTCTATCGTCTATCGTCTATCGTCTATCGTCTATCGTCTATCGTCTATCGTCTATCGTCTATCGTCTATCGTCTATCGTCTATCGTCTATCGTCTATCGTCTATCGTCTATCGTCTATCGTCTATCGTCTATCGTCTATCGTCTATCGTCTATCGTCTATCGTCTATCGTCTATCGTCTATCGTCTATCGTCTATCGTCTATCGTCTATCGTCTATCGTCTATCGTCTATCGTCTATCGTCTATCGTCTATCGTCTATCGTCTATCGTCTATCGTCTATCGTCTATCGTCTATCGTCTATCGTCTATCGTCTATCGTCTATCGTCTATCGTCTATCGTCTATCGTCTATCGTCTATCGTCTATCGTCTATCGTCTATCGTCTATCGTCTATCGTCTATCGTCTATCGTCTATCGTCTATCGTCTATCGTCTATCGTCTATCGTCTATCGTCTATCGTCTATCGTCTATCGTCTATCGTCTATCGTCTATCGTCTATCGTCTATCGTCTATCGTCTATCGTCTATCGTCTATCGTCTATCGTCTATCGTCTATCGTCTATCGTCTATCGTCTATCGTCTATCGTCTATCGTCTATCGTCTATCGTCTATCGTCTATCGTCTATCGTCTATCGTCTATCGTCTATCGTCTATCGTCTATCGTCTATCGTCTATCGTCTGTGGTCAGTGGTCAGTCATGTTCTTTTTCATTCTGATTATGGAGAACTCGAGAATCGCTTATTTATCGAATTGTGTCGAATTCCGTAAACATTCATTTTAAATCTGCCCGCGACAAAATTTGGATGTGATACTTGCGGACAAACGTAAATTGGTCATCATGTTTACCGTGTTCCTAGTATGGTTGATAAATTTTTACATATGTATAAATTGTAATTTAATTTTGATATATACTTGTTGTAATATTATATTATTTTAATTTTGTTTTAATGCATATTTAATATAGATATGATTACCAAAGACCGTTCACATTTGGGTTGAAAATATATTCCTAAACAGATTGGACAGACATCTGTATACAATAAATTATTATACTATACCTACTTACCTCATTGTTATTTCCGTTTTGGGTGGAATACATCCTGAATTAGGAATAATTTTAAGTTTTTGAACATGATCATAAGAAAATAAACTCTCTTTTAATATCTTGAATCCTAATTCCTCATCTTCTTCATTTTTCAAAAAAATCGTTTCTTCAGTTGGTATCCTCAAGAGAGTTGGAGCAAGGTTAAGATGGGCCCTTTTGAAATACACTCTCGGATTTCTGCATAAACCAACAACCAAGAATTTGGTTTCTATATAGCTGCTTTGAAGTTCTTTATCTATTGTTTTTCTATCAGTTTTAAATAAATATTCGTCTTCAAATACTCCCAGTTCTTGCGTAGTGAATGCAAAAACCAGTTCAAACTTTTTTCTTTTTTGGATTGTTCCTGATGGTGTTTTACAGTTGAAATAAGAGAGGTCCACTTGTTCTAGACGTTCTATTTTAAAATTCAGTGGAAGATAGCTTGTATTTAAAACAAAGAAATGTCTAAAATAAAAATATATGTTTAAAAGAAAAAAATGACTAACCGGTCTACTTATTATAAAATTAAACTTAATAATATCAGTTATTATTAATTATATTAATAAAAATATTTATAATTCAAAATTACTGATTTTACGAAATATTTTACATGGGTGCGTATTCAGCTGACTAGCCCCAAAATCACATTTGCCCCTTTTTCTCTCTTATATGATTACAAAAACCTGCTTTTGATCTCTCATTTAAGTGTACTCATTATCCTATGATATTTCTTATCTACTTATGAACAAAATAGTACGAAAATTAAATATAATTATTGATTATAGAAACATATAAAAATAAAGTATATATTGAGAAAAAAACTTAATTATGTTAATGAAGTGGTTTCTGTTATTTTTTAAATGTAAGGTTTACTTACTTAACAGTCGTTATACCAACTCCAACAGCATGGATTTCTAAAATCTTGAAGTTCGCGTCTATAAATTTAAGACACCTTTTCATTGTACGTCTTGTCAAATAATCAGAATCTTCCAGTTCAAAATAATAGTCAGGATGTAGGCTTTCTGCAGTGATTGATATATGCACGTTTTTAAGATCAGGATGGAGAGATTCTATTTCAGAAGTGAGTCTAGCTGTGTAGTGACAAGCAGATAGAGGAGAAAAAATTACTCGAAATTCGCATGTTTCCTTTACTGATATGGTTGTCTTCTTTGGTACTATTTCCAGTAGGTGTGGGTGAGAAATGTATACTTCAGATTGGCTTCCAATATGACTGCTAGCAGTACTTAAACAGCTTTCAAACGACGAAACTAAGAATGAAATACATCTTATATAATGCGAAGCGCCAAAAATGAAACAAATGAAGGAATAAAAACAAGTATTAAAAGTAATTTAAAAAAAAACGACTTTAAAGTCGTGCAGATGCCATCACGCGTGCAAAGCCGCGGGCAACAGCTAGTAGTACAAAAATAATACAGATTGACCATTATTGATTTTACGTCCAACTGCATAAATTTTAATACATTCCATTTGTAATATTTAATTTATTAGCCAATCGTCTTAGAGAGGACAAACCAGGAAGTGGAAAATTTAATTGCTGTTTTACATACAGATATGCCTTTTGCTGTAAAAGCAGATGCAGCATCTTCAAATGTCTAGTAACACGTTTCTTTTTTTTTTCTGTTTTCTTTTTTCTTTTTTAGTAAAAACATTTTACTTGGCCTTAAGTTCTTTAGTTTGTTTCAATGGTCTTTGATATTTGCTTTCATAAAAATTTAATTGCTTTACTTTGTAAACATGTTAGTCTTTTGTTATAGCTTATTATATTTTTTCTCCCGGTTAAGACTTTTAACGACACTGTTTTGGCTTTCAATTGTGCTGATTTTATTAACTTCTAAATGTGTGGAAATTTTAGTATATTTTTTTAAACAATCATCTCTCTTTTCAAGATTCGACTTTCCCGTTATTTTTTTAATGATTTATCTTTACTTTCATAATATTCCCAAGAATTGAAGTAAGAACTGCAGTTTTCTTTAATCGCCTCCTCATTGGCAAACCCAATTACCCAATAATTCATTAAAAAGATCTCTTTCATAATCATTGCTGATAAAATGGATAGAACAAATCTGACTGGTTGTGGGATTGCATTTATCAACTCTACGGCAACTCTGAATCCACTCTTGTTTTATTTCATGTGAATCAAAATGTTTCCCCAATGGAAAATCATGATAAATTATATCTGGGTTATTTCATTTTGTTTCCACAGTTTTCACATGGCTGTTGTTACAATTACTGACCACCGTCTGTCTGGCACAGTCGAACTCTATTATTTGTTAAAAACAATAATTTTTGCCACTGTAGAACTACCTATAATAAAACTTAGTTGATTTACCAAAATATTTATAAAAACCCTTTAAAGAAGTCCAGTCAAATAAAGAGTTACTGTAACGGTTGTAACTGTTTTCGTTATTTTGACACCAACATCTCTACACAAATGTCATTTGTCGTTTATGCCTTATGTCTAATGTTGGCAATTCATTTCGATTGATAGCTGTCAACGAGCAAGTTGAATTATTGAATTTTAATCTTTTATCTTGGACATCCGATGTACTGTCTTTAATATTTTTAATAACCGTCTGATTTTAAAAAGGTAAGTTTTCTACCGATATTTTGTTGAATATATATATATTTAGTACAAGAATGTCTAATTAAAATGTCAAATTTGAAACATAACCTCAACATGAAAACACAAGAAATCACATGTTTTATATAATTTTATATATTATTTTGTTAGGAAAGAGATAATATGCTTTACTATATTTAAATATGTTAAATAAGATTTTTTCTTTTCATATTAATTTTTGCCTCTGTGAAACTATTCAAATAATAGTTTAAATGTTCATTTAATAGTAAAAAGCATTATCTGTTTCCTATATACTCTTCCTAATCCCTTCTTGATATGTTTACCTTTTTCCTTGTAGCCTGGCTGTATATAGATGGTTTCTATAGAAGTTGTATATAGATGGTTCAGTAGAGTTTCTATAGAAGTTATATCGATGGTTTTATAGAAGTTTATCGAAAAAGATTGTTAGGAAGAACGTTCCAGCTGCATAATAATAATAATAATAATAATAATTTATTTACCAAAAATAATATAAAAACAATGTATAATGTATATCAATTTAAGTTCGTTCGAGATAAATAAACAGAAACACCCACAAAAAGAATCCTTGAGCATGGGTTATTATTGGTTATTTAGGACGAGCAGTCTTAATAAAACACAATATTACAATATTATAAAAAAAATGAAAAATTATACAAAAATAATATTTGGAATAATATGAAAAACAGTTACGTAATACTAAGTTTAATTTAATATTAATATTTACATTTTATCAACTTTTTTTTTTTTCTAGACAAATTATTAAATTAAACTAGTAAATCAGTCTATAACATTCGTTATTTGTTGAAATAAAACGTTGCAGGTTCGCAGTAGGGATAGAATATATCCATTTTTTTATTTTTACTTTGAATAGATTTAGGGAATAAATGCTCTTTAATTCTAACGGTATTTCATTATTAATTTGGGACCCAGGTAAGCATAACTTTTTTGCCCTATAGTTTTTTTGGCTTTAGGTATTACAACATTATTTAATTTATATCGAGTTGCGTGGTCATGACTTACTGATAGTAAAGTGTTTGTCTTTACGTTGTTTTGTAATAATCATTTTTGCAAATGTGTAGAAATATTGAAACATAGAAGTTTGGTTCCAGCTACAGAGGTTGTTTCAAGTATTTCAAGAGGTTTAGTTCGAGCCATCCAAAGAAGTGTACGAGATTTAACTTTACCTATGAAGATTTATCAGTTGGTGACATCCAAGCCTATCATACGAATCCCCTGTACCTGCTACCTGTAATTACCTGTTATACCACAGATAAGTTTTCAATAAATCATTTAAATTTGAATAAGTAAGTCTCTGTGAATTAGAATTTGTCGCTACCTTATTTAATTATAATATCTTAATGGTTAGTGATTTTCTATATTTACATTACTAATCGATTGTCAAGTTTAGGAAGTTTTAAATATAGTGGCTCTCAACATTCTTTTTCAAAGTAATACGAGTTGTTTCCACTCCCCAAAATCATAGAGCTTAAAACACTATAAAAATAGATAAAATAACAAGATCATATTACAAAAAACAATCCAAAAAAATACTAAAGGACATGTACAAACGTATAAATACAAGAAATTATAAATATCTGGTCCGGCTATGACGAAACACAGTGAAACGTACATACTAGAAATAGGAATGCATTTTTAATTGATTAATAACATTAATGAGTCTATAAATATTTAACGATCGTTATTGCAACCGGCTGAAATTTTAATTTTTTTATATTTTTATTAATGATTTCAAAGAGTTTTAAGATATTGACTCGTAATTTGCAAAATACTTTGGATAAATGTGCATTTTTTAGGGTGGTCTGAATATTTGCATCAGTGGCGTTAGTGCGGGGCTTTTTTACAAAACAAATTGGACAATCACCCCCTAAAATCATTCACACTTATTTAAAAACACCATGTATGTTGTGCCTTTCAAAAGTAGCCTCCCGTAAAGAAGGACCCAAGCCGACACTGATTGAAAAAACAGTTACAATTCATAATTTAAAAACTTGTTTGCATGCCTAATTTTTTTTCTGTAATAACAAAAACCTTACAATACAGTCGTCTGTTTTCACAAAAAAACTTTAAATATTTAGCTGCCTGTAAATCTTTAACGATAGAAAGATATAAATATGTAAAATATACTCACCTATATCCACAGAAGATCCATCTTCTTGTTCTGATTTAATTATTTCCATAAAAGGGTATTTTGGGGCTATACCATCGATTGTAAATTTCCAATCTATAAATATCGGAACTCTACCGCAATTTTTTATTTTGAATGTCAGTTCACTTTTCTAAAATACGACAAAATATATTTAAATAATCTCTTTGCATAAATTATAATCTAAAATTTCAATTCCAATGAATGTGTCCTTTCTTTTCTTTTGTGCCTTTTACACCCGTATTTGTAATTATCCCGCTCACAAACATGGAATAGAAGACACCATCTGCTGGTAAATTAGAAGACATGTTACGTGGAAGGCAGGTACAGGCACAAACGATCAGTGAAACCATGCAGGTGAACATCAACAGAGGATGCCTATAGAGTTGAGTCCTTTCTTCTCTACTGTGGAAACTAGTGGCAGATAAACTGTTGAAAACACTGAAGAATCAAGGGATGTACGCCCAAGGATACGCCGATAACACAGAGTTATCCTTATTCGAGGAAAACACCACACTATAGCGTTCGAAGTCATGCAAAGAGCTCTAAGGCTGACAGAAATGTGGTGCGTTAGGAAAAACCTCTTTGTAAACCCTGACACGGAAAACAAGGTTAGAGGTCTTAGAAACTCCGACTTTGTTTGGAAGAAGGCTAAACATAACAAACCAAGGAAAATATCTGGGTTTAATCCTAGAGTCAAACAGAAAAGTGACCAATAAATATGTAAAATGTCTCTCATTGTAGGGTGACGGGGCATTTGGAGAAACATGGTAATTAAAACCGAAAATGGTCCACTAGCTATATTCGGAACAAGACCCATGATAACTTATGGAACGGTTGTTTTGTGGCCAAAAGTAAACCAGGAAACAACCCTTAATACCTTCTTAGAAGTTCAGAGGCTGGCATGCCTTTGTATTACAGAAGCATTGAGAAGTACAACAACAGTCTCTATGGAAATCATTCTGAACCTCCCACCCCTTGACCTAGTCATAAAAGGGTCCATAAGACGTCTGTCAGAGACATGACAGATGTCTAAAAGACGTCTTATGACCCGGCCAGACATCTTAAAGACATCTTTAAGACGCCTGATGTTACAAAAGGTAACGTTCTTAAAGCATCTTGAATATGTCTGTTTTTCGACATTGGTAAGACGTACTCTTGGATTTAGTTTTAAAAGCTTCTGTAAATTCCTTCTATACAAAATAAAACACATATTTTCTATAAACATTATTATTAACAAAACACTAAAACATTTCGTTAAAAAAAGTAATATTACATTTTTTTTTTATTCTTCTGTCTGATGCTCTTCTGAGCCAGTCTGGGTTGCAATAATTTTAAATGTGCTGTGTAAAATAATATGCATTATAGCCTCCTCTGTTAAATTCGCTTTAATAGGATTTTCAGTAGATAGTGTGAGTTAAGGGTGGTCAAAGAATGACAATCTTCCTGTACTTCCAACTCTAATTCAGATATATTTACATCCGATGAAGCTTCTAAATCAGCTCTAGATGCCTAGACGTACTTAAAACACTAATAAGGGTTCTTCTATTTAGTTTTTCAGTATATGCAGTAAACTTGTATGCTTATAAATTCGCAGTAATCCACGGCACAAGACACAAATAAAAAAATCAACGAATAACGAACAAAAACTAACCTCTCCGCTTTCATCTTCAACATCAACGACAAATGACAACATAATAACAACGAAAGGACAACGCAGAACGCCACGAACCACAAAACTCCAATAATACTCACATTCAGCCTTGTTTAAATTCTACTGTTGAAAAAAGACAAAGCATAATAAAAACATTCGCTTCGATCGTTGAACCAAGTTCCGGTCAAGTTGAAAGAGCGCGTACTTCAATTTGTCTTGATATGTTTTAATTGTTAATTTTATTTAGAGTTATATTTATTATTTTTATGTTATTAAATATTTACTTACTCTAATGAAAAAATCTGATGTGTCCAACACATGACTTTCCTATCTAGTTATATAAATGTTTAGAGGATAAACTAAATATATACATTGTCCACATACATCTACCTCGAAACATTTTTCTATAGATATTCATGGAAAACGAAAATACTGAAAAATTTTAATTTCCTACAATTTTTTCATTACGGTCCATTTTAGAAAAATCATGTATAAACAAAAATTATAGAGATCGATATCGCAAACAACTTTTATTTCAAAAACTTTCATAATAAAAATCAGAATTTTGCACATTTTGTCAAATTTCTCGAATACGGACCATTTCAGGAAATTTTTACAAAAAACAAAAATTACAGATAATAATATTAGAAGTAACTTTTATTTGAACAATTTTCCTCTCCAAACATAAATAACAGATATATTCCATAAAATATAAAAACGGCCTCCCATAAAGTACCCCCCCAGATGTTCCGACTTTGTCCAAAATCTAATCGTTTCACGTCAGGCCGAAATAAACCTTAAGTTTAAAATTTAATGTTTTTTTCTTTATCTGTTTTTGAGTTTTTTTCAAAATTCGAAATTTACACATTTTCTCAAATATCTCGAATACGGTCCATTTTAGAGAAATTATGTAGAGAATAAAAATTATAGAGAATTATATTACAAACAACTTTTATTTGAACAATTTTTATAAAAAAATATTTTTTTTACATTTTGTCAAATTTCTCGAATACGGACCATTTTAGGAAAATTTTGTATAGAACAAAAATTATAGATAATAATATTAGAAGTAACTTTTATTTAAAGAATTTTCTTCTCCAAACGTAAATAACAGATATATTCCATAAAAGATAAAAATGACCACCTATAAAGTACCCCCCCAAATGTTCCGACTCTGCCCAAAATCTAATCAGCTCATAAGACGCTGAAACAAAGCTTAAGTTTAAAATTTGGTGTTTTTCTGTGTATCGGTTCATGAGTTATGCGTTATACAGACACACACACACACAGACACACAGACACACAGACACACAGACACACACACAGACATCATCGCGAAAATAGTCAAAACGGATTCAGGGGACCTCAAAACGTAAAAATCCGTCGAAAACTCGAGGTCGAAAAAAATCATGATTCCTATACTTTCCTTATATCTGTATACAGATAGGAAAGTAAAAATGCTCGTGAATAAAAAAAAATAAGTAAATTATGTAAATTAATAAAAAAAAAATTAAAAATAAATTTAAATTTTGTGAAATTAGAAACCATCCAGTACTTTGTTTAATGTTACCATTATTTTTATATTTTTTAAATAGAAAGGCATTTAAAAGACGTCTTTAAAACGTCTTTTTTAGATATTTAAGTGATCAGTCATAACTACGACATAACACAGAGGTCTTTAAGATGTCGTGTGCTGTGTGGGAATGACTGCATACAGGCTGGACATTTCCAACAACTGAAACCCACTGGGACATTTAAAACATATCAGAATAACACATGAAATAAATGATCCTATATTAAACATGGGATCAGATCATATGACACCCCGCCTAATCTTCAATAAACTTTTCCAGGTCAACTGCAGTTAGAACGAGGTAAATAAGGAGGTAGAGAAATACTTGCTTAGTGGTCTCGTATGGTATACGGATGGATCTAAAACTAAGAAGGGGACAGGCTCTGGCGTACATAGAGTTAAACCCAAATGCGACATAATCGTTTCACTGGGAAAACATACCATTGTATTTCAGGTTGAAATTCATGCAATCAAATGGTATGTACGAGATAATTTATGAAGGAAGAATAAAATTAAACCATATTAATTTTCTCCGATATCCAAGTAGTCCTAAAGACCATTGATTAACACATAATCAATTTAAAGCTACCTTTGAATACTAAATGATCTGGCAACCCACAATAGTGTGTGTACCGGAGCACAAAGGTATTCAAGGAAATGAAAAGGCTGATGAACTCGCCAAAGAGGGATTAGATCTACCATTCACAAGACCCGAACCTGTACTTGGGATAAGCAAAACCTCTGCTGGACAGGCATTGAACAGGTGGATAACAAAAAACCAAATTTATTGGCAACAGAAAAGGGGGCACATAATCAGTAAGTTCATTTGGAGGGGACCAACTCACGCATGGTTACTGAGGTACTACAACTCGCAAGGTCTCAGATATCTACCACTGTAAGGATTACTAACGGGATACTGCTTGCTGAAACACCTTCATGTGTTGGGATTAGACGATGATCCCATTACGTGCATGGAAGAGAAAGAAACCTTATACCATGTGATCTTTGAAGGCAAAGCTCCTACTAGGTGACGCCTAGAACCGGAAATAACGCCCCAGGAACACTTGGTAGGGAACTTATTAAAACTAACCAATAGCACAAGGCTATACCAAAGATAGTACCTTAATACGGGGAAAGCAGGGGAATACAATAGACCCAAGAGGCAGACAAAGGCAGACAAAGGCAGACAAAGGCAGACAAAGATAAAGTTTATCCCGACGTTCTGAACCAAAGTCAGAGGTAATGAGAGAGTATTCATTATAATATATTACTTCCTTATTTGGTAATTGTTTTGTTGGATAATTATGGTTGGTTAAAATACTACACGAAACTCAATATAAACACGTAACATAAATAAAACCTAAATAAAACATTTACCACCACTTTTTGTAATCATTTCTGTTTTTAAAAACAATTTAATTTCGTATACAAAAATCACCAGTACACTTCTATAATTTTAGATGTTTCTTCAACTCTTGCTGTTATTTATCAATAACTTGTTGATGTTCTGAAACTAGGTGGACGCAAACAGAAATTCTAGAGGGTAACTATTTATATTGTGAGCCTAATAAAGAAAAAAATAGTAATTTGTCATTAAGAATGGCCTTATTGTTTCTCAAAATATTCTGCATTATGATATATGTATTTTTGTATATGTCAAAACATTTTTTTCAATGTTCTTGGGATACCTCCAAAACATGATTTTTGAATGCAGCAACGGCTTCTTTTACCCAAAAAAATGGTTGACCAGGGAATTTTTCTTTGATATGTTTGAACAAGAAAAGTTGTTGTGTGTCAAATCAGGACTGTACGTCGAATAACCCATTAATTCAATGCTTTCAGTGCTCCAGATATCCCTTGTCCATTGTAGTGATGGAGAATTATCCGTCTTTGCCGATTTCTCCGAACAAGTAATTTGGTTTCGATAGTGAAACAATATACTATTAAACAATTATTCATTTTTCCATGTGATGAAGAAATTCTTGTAAAAAACTTCAACTATTTATAATATAAACAGTCAACATTTTAGTTGACTTGACTTCTCTTATCAATATAGACAGATATTTTAAGAAGCTCAGCGACTCTTACTTGTAAAAACTTGCATATTCCATATTCAGTACAACGCGTTGAGACTTGTCGTTACCGCGCCGGCCGCCGTCCCATCCGCAACGCTTGCTCAGACGTGCAAATTAATACGACTTGTGGTGTGTATGTGTTTGCAATCTTGCATGAACGTGTTTGATTCTTCACCAATATAAATACGAATGTAAAGGATAATCGTTACTCATTTGTTTCTGGAATTTCATAAAGAAAAGTGATTCGATATTAGTGTTGGCCAGTGACTGAATTTGTTTCCAGACTTTCGAAAAGAAAAGTAAAGTGAATCGATATTGGTGATTGCCAGTGTCGGAAAAGTAAGTACCTATCTGCCTATTTGTTATATGCATATAGTTTTAAGCCAAGAAAGATTGAACTTTATTTTTATTACCTATCTAATTCATTTAATTATTGTGGAGTTTTGATATCAAAATATTGTTTAAAAGTTTCTATAGAATTTACAGAAATATATTAAAATATAATAAATGAAATAATAATTTTATATCACATTAAAATAAGTTCAGCCGTTTTCATGAAACTCTATGGATCTTAGCGATTTATTGCTTTTAATAATTAGAAACAGTTTGCAGCCGGAACTTTGTTTATTTCATAATATTTATTATAATTGATTAATCATATTATGTTAAAATAGCCATATCCTGTTAAGTTCGAACCGCCTTAAGATTACTAAAACAAAGTTTTTTTTTATTTATTTACTTACTTACACATTTACAGGTAGGTAATTGATATAAAACATGGCCGAATCTAAGAAGAAGTGTCGTCAGTACAGTTCATCAAATTTCTAGAGGTGTTCGACGCCCAGACAGAGAACGCGCTACGTGTGACTAAGATAGCTATTGTACAGTCTGCTAAACAAGTTATTTTAAATAGTTTTTAATATTTTTAGGTAATTAAATTAATTGTAGTTTACACGTACATATACCTCTTAACACTTGTTTGCTTTATAAAAAAAGTGTGTTGTGATTTACGTCGAAATAAGTCAAAAACAACTGAAAAAAATTGAGCCTGTAAATGAACACAACTCAGAAACAAAAATAGCTATCTAATAATAAAAAAATAAAATTTGATTCTTGTGCAGCTTCATCTATATCATTAACTGTTTTTGGTTTTTTAATGGTTTTTTAATGGTTTTTCTTGGTGATGAAAATTCCGATATCTCACGGTTATCGATTTTTTTTTTTCTCTCCAGAAATGCGGACGACAGTGTTTTTAGATACTCCTGTGGCTGCAGCAACACGATCATTTACATTTTTAAATGGTATTGAAGGTGAATTAAAGTTTCCTTCTCTTCTCATAAACTCTATAACATTGGCTATTATTTCGCGAGATTGACTGTTAATCACGCGGCCTCTTAATTTGCTATTAAACTCCATACTTAGGTTCTATTAAACTGTAATGAGCAAAAAACACAAACGAAAATAAAAGAAATGTTTTAGCGAAATTTACATCTGACATTTACGTCTGAATAAAATATTGAAATACTTGATGCGCAGAGTGTACTTTCATTGCGTAAATCCGTCGGGATGCCTGTCAGTAGTGCTTTCTCTGTCTAGTCGTCGAAAGCCTCTAGAAATTTGATGAACTGTACAGTGTTTAATATTTAAAATTTGGTTTTCTTTCATCAAAGGCAGACAAACGATTGCCCACATGCCTTTTATGCAACAAAGTTTTGAGCAATAACTCTATGAAACCATCAAAGCTGGAAGATCATCTAAGAAGGTGCCATCCTGATAAAATAGGTAAAGATTTGAAATATTTCCAAACATTAAAGGAAAAATATGAAAAGAGACCCACCGTGCACAGTATGTTCTCTTCAACGTCTGAAAGCAAAGATGATGGCTTACAATATCTCATTACTTATCGCAAAATCTGGAAAACCGCACACCATTGGAGAACAGTTAATTTTACCTGCTGTTGAAGAGGTTTTAAAAACTGTTCTGCACAAATCTTCATTTGACATACTCAAAAGAATTCCTTTGAGTAACAACACTGTACAAAAACGTATTGATGAAATGAGCTCTGATGTTGAAAGTTTCTTGTGTGATTATCTACGAACAACTCGATTCTATTCTCAAACGTTATTTCGCTGGCAACAGATGGAGCTCCTGCCATGGTCGGGCGATATCGTAGGTTTATAAGCCATCTTAAAAGAATTATACCAGAGGTAATTGCGATTCACTGTGTTATCCACCGACAACATCTAGTAGCAAAAAATTTGAGTGATAGATTGCACCAATCGCTTCAATTTGTGATTAATGTAGTTACCAAAATAAGAAGCAATGCATTAAATACGCGTTTATTTGCACAATTGTGCGATGAAAATGATGAAGACTTCCAACGATTGCTGTTGGATATTTATCAAGATTTTATTTACTTTTTGACTCAGTTTTAGAGTTTTTGGAAAGTAAAGATCCTCATTTAAAAAAAAACTTGTTTAATTTTAAAGCAGACATCGCGTATTTGACAGATTTGTTCAAAAAATTTAATGACCTCAACTTACAATTACAATTACAACTTACAATTTAATAAAAACAAAGAGTGTAATTTCAGATTTTCTTGGTAAATTGAAATTTATGACGGAGGTAGAATACCTTGATGAAGATATTCAGACATACGTTCAACATTTGATTGCCCTGCATGATGATTTTAAATTCAGATTTGAAGATATTCTGTCGATAGAAATACCACCATGGATCATAAAAACATTTGATGAAACGGAAATGGAGAATGTGATATTACAAGAGGAGCTACTCTAGCTTAGCACTAATCAGGAGCTGAAAGTGACATTTAAAAGAGGGTATCAAAAATTTTGGCTGCAGGCAGAAATACCCGAAAAATATCCTGGACTGTGGGGAATTGTGAAAAAGCTTTTGATAGCGTTTCCCTCGTCATATCTCGTCGAAAAAAGTTTTAGTGCCGTTACAAACTTATTAACAAAAAAAGGAGCAGATTGAATATCACAGAAAGGGGAGATTTACGGTTATTCCTTACAAAACTCAAGCCAAATATTGATAATTTGCTGTCAATCCATCAAGTACATCCTTCTCATTAAAATTATATATTTTTTGTAATTACCATTGTAGAAATTACATTACGTTATAAGTGTTTAATTTTAATTATATTACGATGGTTATAACAACAATAATTATTAGTGTAATAATGGGACGTTTTCTAAATAAAATTTGTGAGAATTAATTGGTTCTTGTGCTGTGAGTCACCTGTAGATTTCAAAAAAGTAAAGTTGGATGGAGTCACTGTTTCGTTTGGCCAACTTTACTTTTTTGACATCCACTCTCAGCACAATCAATTGAAATTGAATTGAAAATTTGTTTAGTCGACTTTATTATTAAATAATTAACCCTATCAAGTAATCAATTCTAACCTTTTTTTTCAAAAACTGTTCATTCGTCGTTAAAACTAAGCCATAACGCAAGTTTCCATAGATAGATCTAATCTTCACTTTTTTTTTTCGAGATTTAGAAATTGGTAGTGATGTAGCTACAGGGAGTCCACCGGATCCAGCAAAATTTTGAAAGTTGTCTATGAAATAAAAGAGTTTGGGAACCTCTGATGTGGATGATGGCTCTTTCATTCGTGTGCTTGAAAAGGATGCGAAGCAGACAGAAGGTAATAAATACAATTATATTGTTTTAATTTATTGAAAGTACCTCTCTAAATATTTCTTTCTTTCTGAAGGTGGAATGGAAGAAAGGAGTCGGAAGGAAGTTGCAGATGTGGCAGACTATTAAAGACCACAGTTTGATACGAACAAGAAAAGTCTAATTTATCTGGATCATCTGAAACTAAATGTTACAAAGACTTTTGAATAACATTTAATTTAGAATACCAATGTACTGACATTTTTTGTTTGATATATCAGTTTTATTCAAACAGGGCGATTAATAAAATGAAACTTTTATGTACTTTTTGTGTATGAAAAATATAGTCGAAAAACATGTTATTACAAAAAAAATCCCTCTTATAACTGTATCGGTTACTTTTAAATCGCTGTAGCGCATCAAAAATATTGTTGGGACATACAAAAACCATCATTTTTGTTGCTGTTGCTTACAACTTTTTATGATTGGCATATAAAGACTGACATGTATTACAAGGGAAGTGAAAGAGAAGGGGGACTGAAATCAGAAAAGTATTATAAGATAATAAAAGTTAATTAAAAATATAATAGAACAATTGAAATAAATGCATACACTTGTTTATGCTCGTTAAGACTTGCGGCAAGGTCTAGGAGACTTAATTAGATTAAGAGACTGGCATGTATTTGTTTTAATTAAGTTATTTACTCTAAAATCATTTAAAGTCCAACCACAAGAAGTAAGACCAATAACTACTGCACATTAACTCCGTTTATTACATGATTTTTTTGGTAAATAATTACTTACGTCTCTAACGAAAGTATCGGGAAAATGTAATTCTGTAGTCGAATGTGAGTAGAGAGCATAATCAGTAGTAAATGATAACATAATATCAATAATTTTCCATTCATCTGAATTATACATAATCTCCGGTTCTCTCCGTTCGAGGGATAATTTCAATTTTTCTGTTATTTCTTCTTTTTTACAGTCTTTCATCCTGTAAAAAAAACGAATTAAGTAAAAATTGATGTGTTCAATTTTGAGCAAAGTATAAAAATTGTCACTTACTTTAAGAATGCTTCTGTTGCTGCTTCAACACAATTTCTAAAATATTGCTGAACATGTGCATCTTCAACAATACCAATACCAGTTTGTATCCAAGACAGCAACTGCTGACGTTCATCCCACGAGATTGTAATTGGCTCTTCAGTTATATAAGTGATTGAAATGTATTGAAAATATATAATTTCCTAAAAATATTATAGAAATTTGTATATTGAATTAGTTGCGTTAAAACTATTTGTAAACATTTTTTTTATGGTAGATATCTCGAGAAACAGAATTAAAGCTGCCCCTTATTTTTTCTTTTGAAATTTCAACATTATTTTCCAAATAATAATTACCATTTATTGCAAAGCCACACGATGACCCAATTTAATTTGTGGTTTACACATTGTTTTACATTTTTGTCATTATTTCAATAAAGCAAAACTTCTGTTTGGATTATTAATTTTGAAATAAACAATAACTTTTATAAAGAATAATATTTTTTCGAAAAAGTTTTTCCTATTTTTAAGTTCATCCGGTGACACCCTGTTTGTATAAAAATTCAATAGATAAAGAATTTAATATCATTGAAAATTATACGGTGGTAATCTCAATAGACCAGGCAAATCTTATTTTCTAAATGAAGTTTAAGGGGATTTTTTTAACGGGAATTTATAGGTTTTATGTAATAAAGTGAGTATACTTTGCTCCATTTTTTAATAGATTTTTATATTTAGATATATTTACACAGCACTGAAACTTATTAAGACTTCGCAATAGTTGGCAATGTGAAATAAGATTGACGATTTTTATAAATTTCTCTTAAGTGCAACTGCTTATTTGGATTTTTAAAAATACAAAAATTGGTGCAAAGTATCCCATAGGATATTTTGCACCACCAGAAATGTATGAAGTAAAACGCAATTATATACCCTACTCAAATGAAAACATTGCACCACAGAAATTCAAGAAAAATATTTTAAGAAAAAAATAAACCATAATGTACGAAATAAAACATAAAATGTTTAATTTTTCAAGTTTTATTTAAAAAATAATGTTTATTGTTTTAAAAATTGTACAAAATCCTAAAACTAAATGTAATAATTCATGAAAAAATAAACAAAAACGCTTAAACGTATTTTTGAAACGAAGGCTAAAGTGCAAATTCACTAAAACCACGCCTTATCCAGTTGAGGTACGAAATATAATCCACGTTTTCTTTAATAATATCATCCCCAAGGATAGAACAGTTGAAAGTAGATGAGATTAGCCAGTTCTGGACCAAGTTCAGAGGTACAGAGAGAGGTAATTGAGTAATAAGTAATTATTCTAAGTACCCACCCCTCACCCTTCACGCAATTAGTAAGTACTTTCCAATTACTATCCTGTACTATAATAAGTGTAATTACATAGTGTAATTGCGTAGTGTATTGGTACCTCTCATTACTCCATCTACATAGAGGTGTAAGTACCTCTCAGAAAGGCAAGTACCTCAGAAGGTTCTTTGGCTGTTGGTGCAGTGTCCACCAGTGTAAATTACACCAGTTACACCACCTTATTTACCTAGTTTACTTCCTTCTTATTCCTGATGCACAGGTAGAGTGTAATTTACTGCTGCCGAATATCTGGTAAAGAAAATATCCTCCTGTGGACGCCACATCGCCGATAGGAAGGCGCAGTGGATTTTACACCGGACCAAACGAAAGCAGTATCATGTAATTTACAGGCTTTATCTAATTCATTTATTCCGGGGTCGTTACGTGCTAAATGTTTCTGTAAGCGCATACCTGGCCCACAATATTGGTACCCAGGTAGGTATGTGCAGTTTAAATGGTAATTTATTTATTAGGGAACCCACTTCCACACTTTTTTTTTTTTGTTTAAAACATCAAAAAAGAATTCGTCAATAAAATAAATGTAAACAACGCGAATCTGAATTTGTGAGAATTTTGCGTTTAATTTGTTTATTGTAAGTAAAATACCGATTTTAAATCAACCAGAAAATGAAACTTTCTCAAATTTAGAACGTCAACTGCTTTGAATGAGATAAAACTACTAAAAGAACAAAATGAAACATTGCAGAAGCAAAACAAGGTTTTAGCACAGTTAAAGAAGAAGGAAAAGACGAAAAAGAAGCTAATGTTAGTCCACCCAATTCAGATGATGAAGAAAAATTAGTCACCAGAGAAACGTATTGGCATTTGCTTAAATCCAAATATAATAAAAAATGTGAAGCAACAGAATTATACGAGAAAGTCGAATAAAGTCATAAAAAATAGACAACAAGAACTCTTATAGTCACCACGGTCATTTTAAGCAATGTAAAAGACTATAATGTAATCAATAAGAAATAACAACCTGGAAATTTTAAATACAAGACGAATATGATGAATAACCAACATATGAAAATTATTGTCAGCTCTGATGAAGAATATAGAAAACTAACAGCTCTAATAAATGGGACTAACTTCAAATGGCACACATACAAGAACCAAGCTACTAGATCCATTAAAGTAATGGTAAGAAATTTGCATCCGTCAACTTCTGCAAAAAATATCGAGGAGTATTTAAAGGAAAAGAATTCAGAAACTTAAGAGAACCACAGTCGATAATAAAATTAAATAAATTAGTATGCCATTATATATGTTAGTATTTGATCATACCGAGGATATCAAAATTTACATTTAGCATCTAAACCATATAAAGGTTAAAATAGAGGCAATTAGAAAGAATAAATTCATACCACAGTGTAAAAGATCCCAGAGACATGGACACACAGAGATTCTGTAACAGACCACCTGTCTGTGTTAAGTATGCTGGTTACCACAAGAGCTACAAAAAAGAAGAAATATTGTCTTTTTCGCAAATAGCCCAAAACATACAAATAGAACCCCCATCTGCCTTATCATCGATATATTTAACATTACAACTTATACAAAGTATTATGAAAACTCTTGAACCAGTCAATGAAAGACTCGACACATTAGAAGCCAGAAGTACTGGAGATATACCGAAAAAGTAAATTTTATGACTTTTAAAGATCTAAGAATCGCTACATGGAATGTCAATGGCGTTCTCAACAAAAAATATGACTTAGAAGTCTTCTTTAACGCCCAGCATATATGTCTCATATCGGAGACACATATGACAAGTCTTATATGAAGATAAGAGATTATAAAATATACCATAATATTCAACCATAAGATCAAGCCAAAGGTGGTAGTGCCGTTATAATTAAGGAACCAATTAATAATTTTAAAGAATTTCACTTACAACGGGTAGATATTCAACTTACAGTTGTAGGTATTTAGTCTACAAAACAGAAATTAAGCATTGGTTCAGTCTACTGTCCAATCAGGCACAATATTAAGGTAATAAGAAATAAGCCTATCTAACCCTTCTGAAACATCCTGGAAATTAGTTTATTGTCGGGGGACTGGGGATCCAGACCAACTACGATCAAAGACAGTGAATTAAGAAAAGCTGTCCGTCAAAAGAATTGCAATTATCACTCTACAGATAAAATTATTTACTGGCTCACGAAGCCCAACAAAATCCCTGACTTAGATTTCATTATATCAAGAAAAGTTTCTTCTAACTTTATTGAAGTTGAAGAAAATGTTTATTTAGACTCTGATCATTTAACTGTAATTCTGACCTTGAGTGAAACAGTTAATGAAAAAGCAACTTGACCTACCCTTACCAACAAAACTACTGAGAAAGCTTCAGAATTATTGAACTTAAAAAAAAGATCAATCTGAATATGTTTGAAAACAACTTGATGAGGAAGCTGATAACTTTACCAGAATTTTTTAAATAGCTGCTTACAATAAGACCAAAGAAATAACCCATTTGACAGAACTACCCACTTGAGATCAGATAACTTGTTAGAGAAAAAAGAAGAGCAAGAAGAAGATGACAAAAAGACCCATCTGATAAATCCATTTTAAATAATAAAGCTTAAAAACTGAGAAGAGAAATTCACAAGATCAAAGAAAAATCAACTCATACCTACAGAACCTCTCACCAGATGAAAGGCACATATTACTCTGTGAAAGTCACAAATAAAATTTAAAAAACCTATTAGCCTTATCCCTCTTATTAGAAGAGATATCGAAGTATGAGTCAGACTTGTTTGCTGAATAGGAAGAAAATAATTTGCCTACAATAAACAATCAAAAATCCGAAAACATCACACTTGTTACAACGAAAGAAGTAGCAGAAGAGATTAAAACTAACATTAATCCAAAGAAAGTACCAGGCTTCGATTTAATTACTCATGAAACCCTAAAGCAATTGTCTAGAAAAGGTATTGTCATGCTGACATACTTGTTTAATACAGCTTATAGATTGAAACATGTTATTGTATGCTGAAAAGTTGCAGAGGTAATAATGTTGCCAAAGACAGGAAAACTGCCGAACGACGTTAAGTCTTATAGGCATATTTCTCTCTTACCAATTGTATTAAACTTATTTGAAAAATTACTGCTAAAGAGATTAAGACCTCTGATAGAAGATAAAAAATTGATACCTAATTTGGATTTTGTCAGAAACATTCAACTATTGATCAAGTGCATATAATCACAGAAGTCATAGAACATGTCCTTAAAGGAAAACAAGTCTGTTCTGCAGTATTTTTAGACGTTCCCCAAGCCTTTGACAAGGGCTGGCATTATGGTTTGTTTCACATACTAAAAAAATCTGATGTGTCCAACACATGACTTTCCTATCTAGGTATTACAGGCTTTTTCCGGTTATTTTGTACAACCTATTGCAGCATCTCTATAAATGTTTAGAGGATAAACTAAATATATACATTGTCCACATACATCTACCGCGAAACATTTTTCTATAGATATTCATTGAAAATGAAAATACTGAAAAATTTAAATTTGGCACTTTTCCTACAATTTTTCCATTACGGTCCATTTTAAAAAAATCATGTATAAACAAATATTATAGAGATCGATATCGCAAACAACTTTTATTTCAACAATTTTCATAAAAATCAGAATTTTGCACATTTTGTCAAATTTTTCGAATACGGACCATTTCAGGAAATTTTTACATAAAGCAAAAATTATAGATAATAATATTAGAAGTAACTTTTATTTGAACAATTTTTTTCTTCAAACATAAATAACAGATATATTCCATAAAATATAAAAACGGCCTCCCATAAAGTACCCCCCCAGATGTTCCGACTTTGTCCAAAATCTAATCATTTCACGTCAGGCCGAAATAAAACTTAAGTTTAAAATTTAATGTTTTTTCTTTATCCATTTTTGAGTTTTCTTCAAATTTCGAAATTTACACATTTCTCAAATATCTCGAATACGGTCCATTTTAGAGAAATTATCTATAGGATAAAAATTATAGAGAATTATATTACAAACAACTTTTGTTTGAACAATTTTTATAAAAAAAAATATTTTTTTACATTTTGTCAAATTTCGCGAATACGGACCATTTTAGGAAAATTTTGTATATAACAAAAATTATAGATAATAAAATAAGAAGTAACTTTCATTTGAAGAATTTTCTTCCCCAAACGTAAATAACAGATATATTCCATAAAATATAAAAATGACCACCTATAAAGTACCCCCCCAGATGTTCCGACTCTGCCCAAAATCTAATCAGCTCATTAGATGTTGGAACAAAGCTTAAGTTTGAAATTTGGTGTTTTTCCGTCTATCGGTTCATGAGTTATGCGTTATACAGACACACACACACACACACACACAGACACACACACACACACACACACACACACACACACACACAGACACACACACACACACAGACATCATCGCGAAAATAGTCAAAACGGATTCAGGGGACCTCAAAACGTAAAAATCCGTCGAAAACTCGAGGTCGAAAAAAATCATGATTCCTATACTTTCCTTATATCTGTATACAGATAGGAAAGTAAAAATGCTTCCTAATCAATATGTAAAGATCGGCTTTTCAGATTTAAGAAGGAAGACGAACATTCTAATTTAAAAGAAATAAGAGCTGGAATGGAAAAAAACTTCTTTTCAGACAAATTATTCTATTAAATAACTGATGTGAGTTAAAAAGCATAGTATCCTCAAGCAACTTTACTGCTTTGCTTGCTGATGCTAATGGCGAAAATGTTTTGTCTACCATAGATTCTACTAGGTTTTATACTATTTTATTCGCCATGGGATAGTTATTGTTTTTTTCTGCGACAACTCCATTGGTTATGCATAAAAGCTGACTATAAAAGGATTGTGTTTTGTAACCATTTCAAAATTTTACTCATTTGTTGTTTCTACTTGTTTAAAAATGACAGCATTTTTTCACAGATACTTCAGTTACTCTATTTAAAATCCACATAAATAACTTCGTATAAATAATTTCTTTATAATCCACATAAATCAACCCGTAAAAATAATAATATAATAAACATAAGAACATTATTCATTTAGCACATTATATCAGCGAATTAAAATATATATTTAAAGACGATTACATAGTAACAGTAAACATATTCTAACGGTTTCTTAAATTCCAGGAAAAAACATATTTGTGCAATTGCACACCAGCATTTTGAAAGCGAATACATTTAAAATATGTCTATCACCCCTATGGAAAATTACCAGCAATTTAAGTATTAGCTTTGTCACCCTCATAAAATCTATTTCTCTTGCGCTAACATAAAAAAATTGACCGTTAAAACACATACACAGCTACAAACGACAATATTCTATCTTTCTCTGCATAGTAAATCATGCTAACATCAGGCGACAACCCTCTAGTGCAGGGTATAGTGGCGCATTCGTTTGCAAAATTGTTTTAATTCGTTATTTTTTTTTAAAATGTCCGGAAGGCTTGCCTAATTATAAAAGTGTAAGATGACACTCGATATTTGTTGATGTTATTGTTTAAACAACGAAAAACTAATTAAGGCAAAAAAAACGACAAAAAGTGTTTATTTTGTGATCATGGCGAGCCGTTAGTGAAGTGTCCGAAACCTGTTACATATTTAAAATTAAAAAATGCAACTCTTCATCGAAACGATAACGTGACTGCGATTTAATTTGTTGTTTAATGAAAATACTAGTGAACAATCTTTTTTGTGGCATCGTGGCGCGTAGGAAGCATATTGTTATAACGTAAAAAAAACATAACAACAAACCAAATTTTGAAAATTTATTTAGGTTATTTTGTTTATTATAGTTTGAATATTCCGTAAAAAATTTAAAATTATAACATTTTAAATTTTAAGGTATATTATTTAATTCAAGAAAATTAGAATTTTCTTCAATTTTGGATTTTAAAAAATTCATAACAATTAAAGGGTTGAAGATACGATAATGGACGTAAGGACTTTTTTTTATTTGAAATATCCTAAAGAATATAAAAAAAATTAATTCATTGCAAAAAATGCATTTTTTCTGGCTTAATTAATTTTTCGTTGTTTAAACAATAACATTAACAAATACAGAGTGTCATCTTACAGTTTTATAATTAGGCAAGCCTTACGGATATTAAAAAAAAAATTACGAAATAAAACAATTTTTCAAACGAATGCGCCAGTATGTTCTGGTCTACTCAACAAATCATAACGAAACATGTCTACAATTGCAACTATTCACACTCGACTCGACAAGACAGACATTAAGAACGATTTTGATTTTCGACACCACAACACCATACTGGCTGTTTTATTACTATCCACTGCTCCCAGCTGATGGTAAGGAAACCCTTCTTTCTACGACGGCGATTAAGAAGAAACGAAGTTGCAGAGAACATGGTTCTTCAAAGCCGAATTTAAAAATCATCGTTCTTCCAGAAAACACTACTAATTCGCGACTCTCTTAGTTTTAAAAAAAGGATTTTTTTTAATTTTTATTGTATTCTTTGAATTTTACATTTATAAAAACTTTTTTAAATTTGCCTGGTCTACCAATTGATTATTAACTTAAGTACTCGTATTTTCACTTACTTTTGATACAGAATTTGGTAAGTTTGACATATTCACCGCCAAAATTTCCTTAGAAGAAAGAGGTTTTAGATGACCAACTCTGGGTATTAATTTCAACGTATGAATATCGTAACAAAATTCGAATCTGTAAATTTCTTTTTCAGAATTATTGGTAACCGTAAAACATTTCTTTTGCACCAATTTTAATGGAGTTTGTCCTAAATCGAGTAGGTACGATATAGTTTTATTTTGTGAAGACCATTTTTTCGGATTAAAAGCTTCTAGATTATTGATGTATATATCTCCTCCGTAACATTGTCCAAATACTTCAATCTAAAACATGGGTTGCAGTTAAGTATATAGCCTGAACGTAAGAGATCATATTAAAATTATTTTTCCTACGACCACTATGGAAAGTGACACCTATCGCACTACTTAGAGCCGTATGCATAGTCGATCGCCAGCGACTCGCCAGAGATTCATTTCGGCGTATCGCCAGCGATTCGCTGGCGATCCGCCGGCGAAAGCCCAAAAAGCTGGCGACTCGCCGTAGATTGTCACTGGAATGTCATTTCACGCAAGTTTTCATGTTCTTTTATAGGGAAAAATTTGATATTCATTCATTATTTTTTGAGTTTTAAGAAATGAATCATGAATAAAATGCGAGAGATACCGGTGATAATCCCTATAAAAGAAAATAAAAACTTGCGTGAAATGACATTCCGGTGATAATCTCCGGCGAGTCGCCAGCTTTTTGGGCTTTCGCCGGCGGATCGCCAGCGAATCGCTGGCGATACGCCGAAATGAATCTCTGGTGAGTCGCTGGCGATCGACTATGCATACGGCTGTTAGTCTTTTGGAAGTGCCCTATATCGCCCGTGTGTGGATAAATCTACTTTCCACCTGTGTATGAATATGAATCTACTTTCCGCATAAGCTGTCAAATATGATATCTAATTTATATTTTTATTGATAATAACTATTTTAATAGTAAAATTGATTTGATGATTAAATTTTTAAATACAGATTTTATATATTTCTTTTTAACAAATTATTAAAAGAATTTTAAAGTAACTGCCTACACTATTTTTTCTTTCTCCTGGTTCATAGATATATTTAATAAGATAACTAAATCTCAGTGTAAGTGAATCTCCCCTTGTTTCTGAAGATCATCATCATAGAACATTGGAGTTTTAAATAAAAAATTTTATTCTTCAACGCGATAATCAAAAAAATAATTCAGATACTTACAAATCTTACCTCAGAAAATACAAAAAAATCGTCAGACAAAAACAGAGAGATGCATGGAGATCCTACTGCGAAGAAATCGAAGATTTCCCGCAGGCAGCGAGGCTTCAAAAAGCTCTTTCAAAAGATCCACACCGACACATTGGCGAGCTTATCAAAGAGGATGGCACGAAAACTGCCAGCCTCGAAGATAGCATTAAGCTTCTGCTGTCAACACACTTTCCTGACTCGGTCATCACAGACGGGACCGACTGGGCAGAGGAAGAATACAACCCATCTGCCACACATATTGTAGACAATGAAAAAAATTAGATGGGCAATATCCAGCTTCTCTCCATTTAAATTGCCATTACCTGACGGTATCTATCCAACCCTACTTCAGTGGGCTCTGGAAGAACTCACACCGCAGCTGGTGGGTATATTTAGATCCTCGTTAGCTCTGAGGTATATCCCCAAAAAATGGAGAGAGATAAAAGTAGTATTCAAAGCTAAACCTGGAAGGATGGATTACACTGTCCCAAAAATATACCGACCAATTAGTCTGACATCGTTTTGCATCAAGAAATTGGAAAGGCTGTGCGAAAGGTACATAAAGGATGCGGTAATTACAACACCACTACATCCAAACCAACATGCATACACCCCAGGCAGATCCACTGATTCAGCCTTTCATCTAGTTGCTGGCCGGATAGGGAGATCCCTGGACAATAAGGAGTCTGCCTTGGGTGTTTTCATAGACATAGAAGGTGCTTTTGATAAAACCACCTTCCCCAAGATAATACACTCACTAACGAACAGGAATGTTCCACAGATGGTTAGCGGGTGGACACATAACATGCTCTCAAAGCGAGCAGTAAACACAAGTGTAGAAGATGTGAATATAAGAGGCTTGGTTGCGAGGGGATGTCCACAGTAAGGGGTACTATCACCTCTACTGTGGAACATGGTCCTCGACACCCTCATCAACCGCCTCAATAATGACAGTCACTACAAAATAGCATATGACCTGGTCATTCTGCAAACAGGGAATTTTAAGAACATACTCTGCGAAAGAATGCAAATAGCTCTCAAAATTATAAAACAGTGATGTAAGGACCATGCACTGTCTATCAATCCGAAGAAGACTGAAATTGTCCTTTTTCACAAGGAAAAGGATGAAAATCAAATTAAAACCTCCAGAATTTCTAAACACAAAACTAAACTTTGCAACAGAGGTGAAATACTTAGGTCTAACCTTTGGCAGCAAGTTAACATGGATTTCGCATTTAGAAAACAGAGTCAAAAGAGCATTAATTGCTTATGAACAATGCCGTCGAACCGTGGAGCGCACCTGGGGTTTCTCCCCCAGAGTCGTCGCATGGACTTACACTGCTATCATCTGACCTATGCTAACATACGGTGCAGTTGTCTGGGTACTGAAAACCAAAAAATGTACAGCTATCCGTAAACTAGAACAAATTCAAATAACAGGATGTCTCAACATAACAGGAGCCATGAAAACAACACCGACCAGGGCCATAGAAGTCATTATTAGTCTCACTCCCCTTGATACTTACATACAAGATAAAATCGACCAATTGTTTAACATAATGAAGAACCTTACTAATAAAAAGATGAAGACAAAGGCCATCAGGTGCTGTAATTGCGGTAAACTGGGACATGTACGCAGTTCGTGCAAACGCCCTATGGTCCCAGCAACTGAAGACAACACGCTGCAGGAAAACTAGAGCGGGTCGGCCTAGAAGGGGCAACTTCGACCCGAAACCGTTCCAAAAACTGATAGTCTCTTTAAAATGTCGCGAGATAGTGTGTACGTAGACGGCGAAGTAAATGGTAAAAAGTACACACTATTGGTGGATACTGGAGCAACTAGGACCATTATACGACCAAAAACCTTAAATAACCGTAAGAGGCTTCTACCAACAAGAGTACGACTGCGGACGGCCACAGGTGAAAGTGCCAACATCCATGGGTAAATCCAGGTTTAATTGGGAATTCGTACAGAAAAGTTCACTCATACTGTAATTGTCGCTGATATCAAAGAATATGTTGTACTTGGAATGGATGCAATGAAATTACATGGTTTCCAGTTAGACTTTAAGAACAGAATAATCAAAGTTGGTGCCAAAGAGGTATTCCTACATGCAAATGGGGACAGTACCGTGCCAGTTGCTGTACAGGAGGATACGGTGGTACCTGGCAGAAGTAGAACCATTATAGTACCATGGCTTCAAGAAAATGTGAAAGAAGAAACACCTGTAATGATGAAACCTTGGAACCACGATGAAGAGGTTGAACGAGGAATTCTGATTGGGAAGGGGTTGGTCATGACTGCTGAAGAGATTCCAGTTCGTTGATGATCACCCTATTATCATCAAGAAAGAGACCAGAATCGGAACTTGTGTATCAGTGTAATTCGTCAAACAACAACTCCTGATAATTCCAACGACAAATTCGAGCAAATGATTGCAGTTGCTGGTCAATCTCTGAATCCAGGGCCGACTAGAGGGAGGGGTAGCCGGGACAAATTCCCGGGGCCCGGACTTAAACGGGGGCCCGGCAGCGCTGTAAGGGGGGCCCGGCAACAGGTTTTTTTTGTTCTGCATAAGAAAAACGACACAAGATGAGAGAGGGAAGTTAGGTTTTCAAATTAAAATTCAATACAAGTAGAGAAAGTTTTAGTCTAGAGAAGGTTTTTTCGACTGAGGACCTTTTTTTTTAGAAAAAATTCTATTTCAGTAGAAGAGGAACAGTTTTTGGTTATTTGGTTAAAGAATTTTTTATCACGGGGCCCTATCTAGAGAATTGTCCTGGGGCCCGGCCTGTCTCTCGGCGGCCCTGTTTGAATCAATTAGAGAAAAAGAAAATAAAAAAATTTCTTCGACGATATTGTGAAATTTGGACTATGTAATGCCCCCACGACATTTGAAAGACTTATGGAAAACGTATTGAGAGGGTTATTCTGGAAAACATACCTCGTGTATTTAGATGACATCATAGTCTTGGAGAAGACCTTTGATGAACATCTAAATAGCTTACAAGATGTTATTAAAAGCTGCCCAACTGATGCCTATCCCCAAGAAGTGCCAACTATTTCAAAATAAAGCTAATTACCTAGGTCATATAGTCAGCAAGGATGGCGTGGCTCTAGATAAGGAAAAAGTCGCTTCTATCGAAGAGTGGCCACAACCGACTGATAAATATCAAATAAGAAGTTTTCTTGGGCTATGTACGTACTATCGAAGATTCATCAGGAAATTTGCAGATATTGCTAAGATATTAACAAGACTTACAGAAGAAGCGAGGGAATTCTGCTGGGACGAAGATTGCCAAACTGCCCTTGAAACATTAAAAAGGTTTTTAAAAACAGCGCCAATATTAGGCTACCCACTACCAGAGATAGAATTTTTATCCTGGATACTGATGCCAGTTATGTGGGAATTGGAAGTGCTTTCACAGATTCAGGAAGGGAAAGAAAGAGTACTAGATTATTTTAGTAAAGTGCTTTCGAAACCTGAACGAAATTACTGCGTCACAAGAAGAGAAGTCCTAGCAGTTGTAAAGTCAATGGAACGCTTCTACCAATACCTGTAAAGAAGGAAATTTTTAATCCGGACCAATCACGCAGCCTTTAAGTGGCTGATGCAGTTTAAGAACCCGAAAGGTCAAATCGCCAGATCGATTAAACGACTTCAAAAGTATGAATTTCAAGATTGAACATCGAGCGGGAATAAGTCACAGATATGCCGATTTTCTCTCTAGAAGACCATGTCCAGCAGAGTGCTCCCACTGCAACAAATCGGAATCCAAAGAAAGTGGACTACTAAGAACAACTGTAGTCAACGATAAGTGGGCCCCTACTAAAATTAGGGAAGAACAAGAGAACACTACCATTTTAAAGAAGATGCGACAATGGAAAGAGGAAGATTTCTACCTAATTGATAAGAAGTATCTAATCTCTCTTCAGTACTCAAGTAATATTTGGCTCAGTGGGACTCTTTTATACTGAAAGATGGTTTATTAAAGCGACTACTTGAAAATGATAATGGTTTCGAGAACATAAGACAGTTGGTCATTCTAAGTAGTAGAGTAACCGAAGTACTTCGTCAGTTACACCACAGTCCATCAGCAGGACATCTCGGTGTTAAGAAAATTCTTCAGAGCGTTCGGGTAAGGTTTTACTGGATGAACAGTTCCGATGATATAAAGGACTGGTGTAAGAAATGTAACATCTGTGTTATGAGTAATGAACCTTAACGAAAAAGGAAGGCTTCCATGAAGCAATACAACGTTGGTAACCCATTTGAGAAGGTCGCCTTAGATATTGCTGGATCACTCCCCGTGTCCGAGGATGGTAATAAATACATTTTGGTGGTTCTGGATTATTTTACAAAGTGGATGGAAGTCTACGCCATTCCAAATCAATGCAAGACATTTTGTTACAAATGAGCAACAACAAGACCTGCTTATGGTTACTAAAGATTACTCGCTGGTCCATAGCACTTTCGCCAACATCTACGACGCTCGAGATCTGGCATCTGTATTCTGGAAAAAGTTTGGTCGATTGCCAGCAGTTCAAGATCAGTTACCAGTCCCTGGAAAAGCATTAAAACTTCAAGATGGATCGCGTTCTTTTTTATTTGATAACGAAGAACACCTTCCGAGATCGATCCACTTATCATGATATATGGGAAGCATTACTTAGTCTGAGGAAGCACGTACTGGAGTCTAAGGTACAGAAACTAGCCAGGCCTAGGATAGAGAGCAACCGGCTATATTGTAGGATCATTAGAAACATGCTAAAGATAGTCATACAAGATTTCGAAGTCCGAATACTAATCTGCAGCTATTCGTCCAGCTTTAAATAAAAACCGTCCCTTGTTACTTCCATGGAACTGAAAATTGTAAGAGATGATCCAATTGCAGATTCAACCATTCAGTTTTAGTTCCAGGAGGAACTGTTTCTTAAGGAGGGGGCAATGTTGCGTAAAAGCCAACCCTGTGCTTTGTTTACTCCTTGTCCGCTGTATGAAGTCTAGCGGAGGGGGTAATATAGAGACAAACGGACCGCTTCGAGAAACTACCGGATTAAGCTCTTTGCGGCGTATGAGTCATATAAAGAGTTCTTGTACAGAGTTGGGCTTTGTATAAATGGCGCGATTGAATTTAAGTATTGGACAGAGAAGATAAATTGTAATAAATAAATTAGAATTGTGAGTTATAATAGTGCCTAAGTAATATATAAATTAATTGGTACGTCATAAATAAATTGTAAATAGTGTGTTTTGAATAAATAAATTATAAATAAATTAAACAAACGTAACAATATGCCCAAAAAATTTTCTCGACGGGCACCTTAACTACTACTATTACGCTTTGGACAATTAATTACGGGTCATCCTGTATTTATTTGATTATTGGGTAATGTCATAATGTCATAGTAAATTATCCTTTAAAAAAGTTATAACTCGCCACGGTAATAACTTAAAGGTGGTGAAGGAAAGAACAAACAATATTACAGACCTCACTTCAAATAAAAAATTTAAAAATAATGTTTGTATTAAATGCATATTTATCATTGCCTGTGTAAAACATTGAAATTGCCCACCACTGGAAACATTTTTTGTTGTCCTGTAAGCTCCGAAGATTTCTACAAATGTTAAAGCTGTGACAGACGTCAGCTCTCAATTACGCATTCCTAAAATGTTTCCAGTGTTTATAGTGTCCCTACTAATATTTAAAAAAATATAAAAATTAACACAAGACATTACAAGTAGAATCGTTTTAAATGGATTTAGTGCTCGCACTTAGTATAATATACTCAGGTAGAAAGTGATTCATTTTTGTCGATAACAAAATAGGTCGACCAAGGCGTGAAAGTGCCGAGGTGAAAGTGCCCAGGGTAGCTATTCACTAAGTCACGGGAGCGCTCCCATGGGAGTGTTCCCATATATTTTTCTCTCTTACTCTTAGGTGGGTATATCGCGCTTACTTCGACCTAACTACGCATGTACCTGGGCTAAAAGTGAGTAAGCACGATATACCCACCTAAGAGTAAGAGAGCAAAATATATGGGAACACTCCCATGGGAGCACTCCCATGACTTAGTGAATAGCTATCCAGGTGGAATGTCAATGAAGAGTAAATAACTTTTTAGCTTAGTAGAAATTGCAAGTAATTACTTTTTTCAAAGTTTTTATTGTAATCCCTGCTATATAAGCAACAAATTGTTTCGGCAAGAAAATATCTACAGTACAGTACATAAATTACTTCAATATATTATATCAATTAGAGCAGATAAAACTGTAATATGTCCTCGCCGAGATGATGCTCTCTTCTGCTCTCATAAATCCGTATATACTTACCTGATATGTCTCAAACGGGTTATCAATGATAAAAATATTAATAAAACTGCTTATTATCACTTCTTTGCGTGGCTTGAAAACTAAATAAACGTCAGTAGATTCGAAAGGCTTTAAGTTGACTTTTACTGATGATGCAACAAAATTGTCGTCTAAAAGAAATAAAATAAAATTAGTAATAACTTATTTTTAGGAGTAAACCCGGTTCGTTATATAATCTTTTATTAATTGGACTGGTCATGGATCGCATGACAATATCTTTCAGTTAATGATGAGTAAAACTTTCAAAAAATAAATTTGTTGTTGCACTTGATGTGCGAATTGTAAATCAGATTTTCTTGTGAGAGAAAATTGTTATAAACAAATTTTGTTTCATTAAAAATCCTTATCGGACGACTTTATAGAGATCATACTGCAAACACTTTTATGTAATTCTACCATCAAATTTCAATTGATCATAATTATTCATTAAATCGGATGGTATATTTTTAGTGCTAATTTTAAATGCAAAAACAATGAATATTTTCTCAAAAATTACTCAAAACATACATACCTATTTGTTTATCGAACTCTAACAAATTTTCGGTCTGTAGTACATAAAACATGGATTTGCCACTGTCAGTAACGTCAATTATCACTTGACATTCAAGTACCCCAATATTAATTATTTTAACTTTTTGTATCTCAATTTTTTTAAGATACGTAGGCTTGAAAAAAACTTTGTACATGTTCTCATTTTCTTCCGGTGAAGGCAATTCTGCTAATTTTATTTGAGGAACGTAACTTCGTCCGCGTAACAACAATTCAAAAATATTATTAGTTGTTGCATTGGAGCCTATTTCTAAAGTAGCTTCAAAAGTCTAAAAATTAAATTCCTTCCTCAGTTATGTTGTAAAGTGAATTTTTGTTTTCAACTTATAAACTACATCCATGTCTTTCATGTATAATGGAAACGCGCTGGCAAATTAACATAATAATCTACAAAACCGAAATTAAATCACATCAAATACGCGACAGACTATAAACAAAGCCCGCCGATCTGGCAAAAATAAAACTCAAACACTCCGTATCTTGGCCTTCCTTTTTAGAGTGCCGCAGGAAGGTGAAACGATGAGCGCAAAAGCGACCCAAGCGATACACAGACCATCCCGAAGTGACCCAGACAAGAGATGAATATGACCTGGCGAGCTTTTTTAAGTCTTCCACTAGTCAGCTATGAAATGAGAGAAAGCCCACTAGCGTGACAGGTCGCGAGCGACTTGTCGCTAGGCTGTGCTCGTGGCAAGAGTGCAGATGTATTTAAAGGCATTTCTTTATAAGCTTACCAGAACATACTTCTGTAACCAGAGTATTTCTTTATAACGTTTGGTTACTCTGCTTTGGTTACATGTTACCAAAGCATATGTAGCTACATATAACGAGGCATTTATTTATAAGCTTACTAGAACATACTATAATAAAAAATAACAAAATCAAAACATTCTAAAATTCAAATTCCGTTTAGAAATCCCCAAACTAAAATTAAATTTGACATATGACATTCAATAATAGGGAAACCATGGTATGCGTAATGTCACCACAGTAACCACAATACTGTAACCAAGTATGTTGTAGTAAGCTTATAAAGAAATGCCTTTAATGGCCCAAAGCTCATTACAGCAGGGTAGCTATTCTTGAATTCGAGAGAGTAGAAAACCGGTTTGTCCTCTTTGTCTGCAACGCATTAAATTTGTATTTTTGTCTTATTCTTCCCTCAAAATTTCTACTCCCCAAGATTCAAGATTAGGTACACAGTTCTGTCGCGAGGTCACACACGGTTATAAAATAGGAACGACAAGCGATTATCTTGCCGCACGCGGCCAGTGGTACTATGTATACATGTGGAGCATCACTTATTGCAGAAGTTCAGTTGTGTGCGGCACGTCGATAGAGTGTTCCTGTTGGTTGTCCTACAGTCCCACAGTTCTAAAATGATCTCTGACGATGTCAATGATTTAGATGCATTTATATATTATAGAGAAAGTAAAAGTTGAAAAGTCTTTTGGTAGGTAGAGAGGGGGTAAACGTCAAACCACGTCGGGCGGCTCCGAGAATTTCACAGTAATGTTTACCTGCCAGTGTCGTTTCATAGAATAAGTAATTTTAAATTGTTATCGGCGGAACCGGACAATCGCATATATTTATGGATTATAAATAATTATTAAACATGTATTATAATATTCAAATTATAATTTTACAAAATTTCACCAGCTATTCACAATTTATTAAACTATTTACTCGAAATTATTTTGTACGCCAATGTATCGCGTCCACTTCGGTGAGATCCGCTGCCAACCTGTCAATTTATGTGTATAAAGTGGGAGAACTGGCAAAAGCATTTCCAACTTTTACTTCTGTTCTACCTGATATTGCATGACGTGCTGTACATACTTAACTTCCATATTCCGGAGCTCATTTCAAGCAGAAAATGTTCTATGAACAAATATCCAATTCTGAGCTACAATCATTTAAGGATCAGAAGATACATTAACATAGTATGTCAACTTTTTAACATTTTTGGTCGTTTGTTTATCAACAATTATGAACGTCTGTTACTAGTCAGTCCTGTACTTTTTGTTTGTGATAAATTTAAATTTTTAACATGCCTGTGTTGTTTTCGAATAAAGAATATGCCGATATAGTTCATATTTATGGATTTTGTGATGAAAATTCGCGAACGTGCCGACAAGTTTTAAATCACCAAATGTTTAGTGCTTTATTTCGACATATTAGAACACATGGCATACTGAGCTAATTTATCTTTTGATCTTTGAACACTTGTAGCTCGGTAAACATGGATAATTGTATATTTTTTCATAGGACATTTTTTGCTCGAAATGAACTCAGAAATATGCGCAATTTAACAGGTCGTTCTATAAATAAATAATGAATCCAATACCTACGTTTCACTTTTTTCCGATAACGAACATATTAAACAACACCGCTGTTACTTCTCTCATCTCTATTTTGTAATTGAACGTCTGTGTCGCTGCTTGTCGTCTGTTTAAAATCGCACTTAAAAAAACGCGTGCGGCACGTTGCTTCAAATTGATACAGGGTGGGCAAAAATACAAATGTTTTTTATGAAAATTGTTTATGGACAGTTATACGTTACTGAATGTAATAAAACAAATTAAATGGAATTACGTAGTTATGCAATTACTGTGATACACTACCAAAAACAAACGAAAATTTACAATAAATGTTTAAATTGTTCTCCATTGATCGTTAGACAATGACTGAACCGGGCATTACTTTCGTCTCTAACATTCTGTAACATAGCGGGTGTTGTTCTGTATTTCTTGTCTAATTCGGTCTTGTAGTTGACGGATATTTTCAGGTCTTTTTGTGTAAACTTTAGATTTTAAATAACCCCATAAAAAGAAGTCTAATGGGCTCAGATCAGGTGGTCTAGCGGGCCATTCCACTGGTCCCTTTCTTCCTATCCACCGTTGTAAAAAACTTCTGTTTAAAAAATCGCGCAGTTACTGAGAAATGCGGCGGTGTGCCATCCTGTTGAAACCATATTCTGCGGTCTTTGATATCAGAAAAAAGCTGGGTCAGATCAGGAATTAATGTATTTTGTAGGAAATCCAGATATAATGCTTCTGGTAAATTTTCATCAAAAAAATGGATCAATAATTGTATTTCTCACAATACCAGCCCATACGTTGGTATTTTTGTGGTCTTTGCGTATGGTACTCTTGCATCTAGTGTGGATTTTCATCAGACCAATAACGGGTGTTTTGCCGGTTAACATGACCGTTCAAATAAAACGTTGCCTCGTCCGAAAATAAAACGTTATGAATGAATTTGTTATTTTGGTTTATCATATACTCGCAGAATTCAGTTCTTCGGTCAAAGTCGTCTTCAGCTAATTCATGGATAAGACGTACTTTATAAGGATGGTATTTTACCTGTTTAAAAATGTTTGATACTAAAGACTTTCCAATACCAAAATCCCTAAATAATCCTCGTACTGTACAATGTGGATTTTCTACTGCCGACAAAATTATGTCTTGTTGAATATTTTCATTAATTTTTAGATTGTGAAACAGGTTCATGAGCTTGGTGCATTTCATGGAATAATCGGCATACCTCTTGTTGAGTCCGCATCTTATCGCCAATACCAATCATCATTAATATTTCAATCCATCACTTTCGGTTAAAGGCATTTTGTAAAAGAAGTTGCAAATGATAAATCACTTGGATAGTTTTCACATATACGTACCTTCTCTAAAGCGTCAACAATACAGAATTGTACTTTAATGTTTCTGACAGTTTTTAACGTCAAATGAAAAAACGGTAAATAATAAACAATAAAAATATTTTTTTCTACACCCGTATTATAATGCACTTATATGCCCAAAATCCGTTTCATAATGATACCCATTATGATACAGATTTTTCATTACGATACAGATTTTTAATCAATAGAAACCTACAATTTTTCAATCAAGCATGCTGTTTGACGTTTGTCCTAGGTTCCTATGTAATTATTTTAGTTGTCAAAACGTATTAAATTTTCGTAGGTAGCTAAACTTTGATAATTATAATATTAAAATGTCTGATATTAGCGATATAGAAGACTCCTCCACACATATCGGAGAAAGCAGAAAATACAGTACAAAATATTTTACCGCAAAAATCTAGGGAAATACCAATACCTGAAGTAATACCATTAATTACAATTTTGTAGAATTTTTTATAGAAATACGAGTAATTACTGTTATTGTGTTCAATACCAATATAAATATAATATTTATAGGTCTTGATTATTTATCGGGTGTAGAAAAAATAGCGTATGCAACTCTCATGTAATGGTTATTAAAACACTCGCATAAACCATACGAAACTCGCCTTTGGCTCGTTTCGTATCCCGGTTAATGCTCGTGTATTAATAACCATCATTACATGATCGTTGCATAATATACTATTATGGTTCAGGCACGATACACTAACGGTATGTTCCTGCGCATGCTTCGAGCATATATTAATAGAGCCATCGTCCAAATGGACTGTTTTGGTACAGGGGGGAAAAATAGTGTCCAGCATTCCCATTGGTCTGTTTCGTTTTGCTTGGCATGTCAAATCGTTTAAAATTGACAGAACTGTCATTTGATTTTTGATTTTCATTAATTTCTAGCTTATTTTTGTAGTTTATAAGTGATTTTTTGTATTTTATTACTTTACTGATACAAATTTTAACAATGGTGTGTGTTTGTGCAAGTTGTAAATAGAAATAAGAAAAGGTATCTCAAGGGCATTTCACAAGTAAGTAACCATTAGCGTCTCTAGCATTTTTTTAAAAGAAACACTACCTACATTTTATAAAAAAGACCGTTAAACATGAATTTAAAATAAATGGTAAATTTAGTGAATTAAATTTAAAGAACTTGTAATATATATGAGGAATATTGTTTTTGATTTTGGACTCTACTGAAAAGTTAAAAAAAACAATAATCATAATTTTTCAATATAAACAAGCTTTTTGTTTTTAAGTCATTTTATAATGTTGAAGATGTTAAATCATTAATTTTTGTTTTTTGTAGGTTTCCAGCTAATCCTGCCGAAAAAAGGCGTTTGGTGAAACATATTAAAACTTACTTCAGAAAACATTTCAAACTGTGATGTTTTATGTTCCAATCATTTTTCTGGATATATTTATGCAGAGGAAGAACTAGATTAATTCCAGGTGCATTGCCATCAGCATTTACTAAGGCCCCAGAAAAAGATGAATCTAAAAGGTAAAAAAACCCTGCACTTTTCTTGTGGGTTATTCGTTAAAAATTTTTAATTTTTCAGTGATGATCTGAACTATGAAGCCTCTGTTGCAGAAAAAGAAAATGCAGAATTAGAAAACATGCAAGTAACTAAGTACTTTTTATTACAACATAAATTTTATTTTAAAATAATTACTATCTTTATTTTTTATAAACCACAAAAATTGACAATAACTATTTTTTATTAAATGTACCTATGTTTTTTAATTAGGTAAACTAATAGTCATTAAGAAATAGCAAAATCTAATGTGAGTTTTCCAATAAAAAAATCATTTTAAGCTTCTTTTATTTGCACTCCTAGTCATTAACAAATATTCGAAGCTTAAGACAGTTTTCCTATAAAAATGAAGGAAGCTTCACTTATTTGTTAACGACTAGCAGTGCAAATGTACCTAAGTATTAGCTTGATTTCTATTTGTAGTATATCGTTTAGTAATCTATTGAACATTGGTTACGAACAATATTTTTATATTTAATAAATTATTGGAAAAAGTTCTTGTAATGTAATTCTTAAATATTTGTATAATATACCTACTTTTTATTTATATTTTTGATTTTTAAATATAAGCTTTTTATCTTTTTTATTGCCTATTATTTCAACCTTTATTTTTCCGTTATACACTTGATGTTTGAATTAAAAAAAAACTGATGTTTCCAACATAAATAATAATAATATTAATAATAATTATTATTTACTAGTACTAGATAGGTACCTACTTAAATAATGCAAGTTTATAAAATATGTGCATAATTTAAAGAATTTAGAAAGTATGTATCAAATTTATTATTTATATTAATTGCGGACTCTATGAAATATATATGCTCGAAGTACGCATGCAGCTGACTGACGGTGACGTCACGTGGGACATAGAATTATTAGCATTAAATGGAAGATAGTGTTTGAAATTCGATATTTTGGCGGTTTTAGATTTTATTGAGTTACTTTATTGGTTATTTTGTAATATATTCGTTTACAAATATGAAGGTTTAAAGTAAATAATACTAATAAATATATTAATTTTTCTCATAAATTATAGGTATTTTGTGACAAAATCCATAACCTGGCCATAAGATAAGTAAATGATATAGACTAAAAATACAAGTTTGACTTAAATTTGTACTTTCTGGGCGTAGGAGTTCTCTTGCAATCTCTTTTCTTATTATGTGAAATAAAAATAAGTGTACAGATACAAATTAATTATTTACAAAAAGTAAGTAAACAAAAACGTTACTTTTTATTTGGTAAATATATACATTTTTTGTCGAGTTTACTTTGAAAATTCCTAAAACCAATTTTCCTGTTTATTTATCTTATTCTTATATATGTTCGTGTCCTGCTCATGCATGGCATTACTTCAAAAGGACCGTTGTATTGGGACAGGAAACTACTGTTTTATCTGCTAAAATTTTTAAATACCGATTTATTTTTTTTGCTTAATGAGGCCCGTGCACCTGGTGGAATTCAGTTTCCTTTTCTTGCGTTTATGTTTAAGACGAATCTCACAACTACTTTCCTCAAAATGGATAGGGCAATTTCAATTAAGTTTTCCTTTCTTCGATAAGAATTTACCCACATTTTGTGTCATTCGGAAATATCTCTACTGCGCAGACGGCATTTTAAACATTAATTTACTTCTTTCCTGTATATATAGGAAAATATATTCACTACTAACACAAAAACATATAAATTATTAAATTATTTTGAACTACTCAATCGAAAAGTGTCAAAATAACTTGAAAGTTCGTCCCGCATTACGTTATGCGCGGTTTGGACGAATTTTGAATCGAAAGTCAACATACCTTTAGTATGTGTATCCTGGGTTCAGGGGCTTGGATCAGTAATAAAAGCTGTTACTTATTAAAAGTATTGCAGGGTCTTTTTAATAGTTTATTAAAGTAGTTGTATAAAAATACGTAATTTCATTTAATGTGTTTATTACGTCTATTCTTTATTTATTATTTTGTAATTAACTTGAAATATTTGAATTTTTGCCAGCCTGTACCATTTTGAACATTTTTGGAATCAGCTCAGCAAGGGCAATCCGGAAATTGAAAAAAGGGGTTACAAAAAAAAAGGTGGTTCGCCCTGTATATTATATTAAAATTTGAAAAAATAGTAAATTAAAATCAAATCTCGATCTGTTTCGGGAATTTCTAATATTATTGTTTATTTAGCTAAAAATGAATTTAGTGTTACAGTTGAATACCGCCGAAAATATGCATTTTAGAAAAAAAGTTTTATGGTTTTTTGGGGGAAACATTTTGGCAAAATTCATTTTTTCTAGCTGACCATAATATGGCCATATCGAGGTGGACTTTTTTTTTTTTAAATTGGAACCCCATGTTTTTTTTACATATTCTTAAAGTACATAAAAAAATGAGAAACTTTTGAGGGAAATATTTTTTTTATTGGACTTTTACTTTTTGAGTAACAGCTAGGTACTTTAAAATTTTGCTGGGCGAAAAAATAGTTGGCCATATTATGGTTAGCTATAAAAAACGATTTTAGCCAAAATTTTTACCCCACAAAACTATAAAACTTTCGTCTAAAACGTTTTTTTTTATATAAAAGGCGGTATTTAGCTGTAACACTTTAATTTGAACACCCGGTATAGTATTCCCTCATCGCTGGACGCTGGACGGTATATTATGTAGACGACAAAACTAATGAAGAAAAAATTGAAAACATAAAAATAAAACAAACTTACATTTATAGAGTCAGGTTTAAATGTAACTGTAATAACTTCTGTAAGATATGGATCAACTGTGAACTGTGTTGGAGAAACAGTAAAATTATTGGAATTATGAACTTTTCCGACTACAACGGCAATAAGTTGTCCCAAGTTTTGAAGGTAAATTTTTGCTTGGCATTCTTTTTTTACACAGACATTCTCAAAATAAAGAGTGTTTTTTGAAATAACAAAATAAGTATGAGTTCCAATCTAAAACAAAGTAAAATTAATAATATTAGATATTTTGTTCTGAAAAATATAAAATACAAAACTAACATCTGAAGGAACTACAAGATCTTCCTCACTATTCACAATATAATGCTCCTTGAACATTTTGCGTAAAGTGGTAAAATCTATCCAAGGCTCCGATGCTTCCCCATAAAGAGTTATTTCTGTTCCATCAATATGCTCCTTGGCTGGTTCTGAAACTGTTAGCAGGACTCTTTCTTTATAGACACCAAGAGAGTTCGGTTGAAATATTAAGGTTATTTCTGCAGATTGTCCGACTTCAACATTACCGTTAGATGGAAATATTGTGTACCCTGGTATTTCCAACGAGTTTGTATTGGCTATAGTTTTTAATCTGAGAAAAAAACAGGCGAATTTATTTATAATATTTCTGTAGCTTTAATGAAATAATTGTAAAAATTATTCTTACTTGATTAAACTTGATCGACCGTGTTTAATTTCTTTGGTTTTTTTTTCTTCAACTACTTTTTGTAATGTAGCATCGGTTCCTAAAAATAATTTTACTGGATGTATAAGTCTATCACAGCAATAATCAATATAATCGAAAGTAATCCATACATAAAAGAGATGCTATCGTAAAACTATGATAGAAATTATTAAATTCTCGAATCTTTCCTTAAAGGTTTAAACAATTTTTCCAGATACAAAATTTTTTATTTGTGTATCAAAGCCGTAAAGTTTATCTTTTTTGGTCGAATCAGATATTTGCGGCCGAGGCGTAGCCGACCAAGCAACTTCTGGTTACCTCGGCCTTGCACACAATATTTTCGAGGCGACTCTCTCATCTAGTAGAGCCAATATTTTTTAAATTCTTGTTTTTAAAAAGAGGCTTAAATGCAAGAATTGTTTCAAATTTTTATTAATCGAATAAAAATCCAACGTTAACTAATAGAATTTGTACAGAATAACTAACGATAAGTATGACAAACCTGTGTTTCTAAATAGCGTCCGTAAAGTAAATGCGGCCGTAAAGTAAATGCTGCCAAAAAGTGTCTCTTTAGGGATGTAAATAAATTCGTAAAATGTAATTTTTATGACAGTCGCCTAAAAAAATATCTAATAAATGAATAAACATTTGTATCCTGTTGAGACATTGTTCATATATTTGTGCAGGAATTAAAAATATATTTTTTTATGATCACTATCCAAAGTAGGGTTTTGCGCTTCCAAATACAACCACAAAGTTGACGTTTTCCGTAAAATGACGTTAAGTGATACCTTTGTCGCTCTCCAAGCGAAAAACTTGACAGCTTTGTTGCTTGCCTAAGTTAAGGTGATTACAACACCCCTTATAATTTTTGGACAAGCATATCACAAAAAGTGATTTTTTTAAAAACTTAAAATATTGACAAAATAATATCTAGAATATGCATATATTTGAAAGTTTTAATTCCTTTCGGTTTCCAAGATAAAAAATTAAAGGTCATTAATTTTTGAAATATAATTAAAATAAATGCATTTCTCATCAGCACTATTCTTAATATAATCCCCAAATTTAAGCTCTTAATCTCTTGTTAGTGATTATTTAAATTCACCGAAATTAGTGGCTAAAACGACTCGTTAAGTACTGCTTTCTAGTGTAACGCGTCTATAACTATCGTGTCGTACACTCTCAGTCATCATTCGTTTCTTGCAAAGATTTACATCAGTTTACACCAGAAGATAGCCCTTAACGATCCGTTTTAGCTACTAATTTTGGTGAATTTTAAAAAAATCATTAACAAGACATTTAAGAGCTTAAAGGAGGGTATGCTTTTGATAGGGAAATTTGGGCGGTCTCTGACAAAAAATTTAAATCTTTTAAATGCTTAGAAAAGAGTAATGTCAATAAATTCAATGTGGCAACGTTTTGATTTAATTATTTTAATGACTAATTGTCAGAAGTGACATTTTCTTGTTATTGTTGATAACAAAAAGTGTGAATCGTTTTCTTTTCAATTCGTTTATTATTTAATTAGTTAGAATACCTTTTTATTTTTACACTTTTTGTATCTATAATTTTACATGGCCCCAATAATTTTTTTTGTGCGATGGGTACATCAATAAAAAAAGTACTTTAAAAGCGGCCAACAATGAAACCTACTGGCAGTTTCTACTAAATATTCGATCATGAAGAGAAATTGACAGGGTAGAGCCTGGAGGAAACTCGCGCATTTGCACCCAATGCTATGCTACGTTTCGACGACAAGGTAGAGTAAAACAATGTTTATAGTAGCAACATAATAAATCTTGTTTGTTTTTATTCTAAAGGCAATGAAATGAGACCTAATATCCAACAAGATCCTATTCCCATCATTGAAAATGTGTACAACGACGATGTAGATATTGAAAATGGTGAAGGGAGAATGGCGAAAATATTAGAAATGTACCGCTCAAACTACCAGATAATCAAAGAACTTGTTGCGTGTACGGTGTTATTAGACGGCAGCGTATTTCAAGGGAAGCTGTTCTCAAGTTATGAATTCAAAACCGGATATTTTGCAACTTGGGGAACTGATCATGCCCGGAACATTTTGAGAATTGTTACTTTTCTGAAGAATCTGTTGCTCTATTGCGATTGCGGGCTGCTCCTAGGCAGCTTACTCATGTTGACAATAAATGTTTAATCTGCTCACTGATCGCGTAGTAGCTCTTAAAGAAAAAGCAAGATATTCGATTTTGACAATGAAAATATGGATGGCGACGATTGCAAGTGCTTAACCGGATTAAGTAAAGCGCAGTTTGCAACGGTTGTAGGCAACTACAATAACTTGACACCTAGAAGACAAGTTTCAAAAAAAGCGTAGCTATTTTTCTAATAAATCTGAGAAATGACCCAACTCAAAAAGTTTTAAGCAAGATGTTTGGCATGAAACCGAAGCAACAATATCTTATCAAAATATTCCAAAATGTTTTTGGAAGACTTTAAAATAAGTTTGGGTTTCTAAGAAATGTTGTGCCAAACATTTACGGACAAGAAACATTTGGAAGCATTTTTAAAGCAATATGTGCTTTATCCAATGCTTTTTTTATGCCTATAAATGAAAGTGGGTCTGAAGGTGACACATTCTGTGACAAGGTTTTGGAAATTTAATAGACATAATTAGAGATCAACGTCTAATTCAAGGTAGAATTGATTGGCCGCTAGTAGGCCGATTTATTGATCTTCAACACTTTCTAATTTTATCGGAAGATGAAATTCAGGACTTAACACTCGGTACATACCACATTCAATTATCGTACAGTTATACGTCATCACATATAAACGACGGCAACAAATTTGGTAAGACTACATCGTCAACCTAATGCCGAAAATGATAATACTCATCTGATAATAGCGTCAATACCTTCAAGGTTTCAAGCTGCTACCGAAAGAAAATGCTTTATTGAATATAACAGCCAACTAATTGGAGCAAACGCAATAACTGTCTGACCATGTCTTTGCAAATCAGGTGCACAAGTTTTAGGAATGTGTGGACATGTCTGCTCTGTAATATGGTTTTTTTCATATGTAAGGCATCAGCCAGGAATTCGTTATCCGTCAGGAGATATGGCAAATAATTATAAATGAAGTGGCTATTGCTAGATCATTTTATAGTATTTAATCAAGGCCACTTTAATGTTGGTATTTAGCATGGTCTTTCTGAACACATTTAACCCTAAATGAGATGTTTTTCATAGATCTCTTCGAAAATATTTAAGTTGGTTTTGTTTTGGTTTTCTAATTATATTGTAGTACACCAATAGGATATAATTCCTGCACTTGCTTTTTTCTTAGGTGTCATTGGCTTTGCTATGGTTATTACCCTCATATTGTGGGTAGTGTAACGTTATAAACGTTACGAGTTTCAAGCAAAGATATCTAAGCCGGCCCTGACTCTTGCATGATACACTAGATCGGATTTCCTTTGCGCCGGTCACGACTAAGCTTGATTTGAAGCGACGAGAATTTTCGTTTCACGGTACACCAGCGTTGCCAGAGTCAGTGCTAAAGTACTGAAATCAGTGCTTTTTGGCCATTATCAGTACCTCAGTGCTACTTTTTATGCTTCAGTACCTTTTCTGTTCAAGGCAAATAGTTAAAAAAAATTACTTTACATGCTTTTCTCCTCTATAAATGTCATGATCTATTGCTGTTTGTAAATTATAAAATCATCTGTGTGCAATCTGCTTGACTCACAGAGTTTAGAGATATACCTATTATTGGTGAGTTCGGTCTACGCACTCTTTTCACTATATTCACTCCTAAAGTACCTAATGCGTTCGGGTACGGAAGGAGCTAAAATAAAAGTTCCTCTTTGACCGTTCGGAGATGGTGGAGTGGAGTGTGGATCGGGCATGCGCATAAGGTGATTTAAATCGATAATAAGTTAATTGTGACTGATTCTTTAGTAAATAAGTTTTTTTTTTTGGTTCCCGTGAATATCATTAATATGGAAGAAACTTATACGGTCGTTACTGATAAGTACGATTAAATTTTAAGTACTGATATGTCACATTGACAACTGACATTGCACTCCGAGAGTTAAAGGAGTAAAATCATATTCGCACTCCGTTTACGCCTAATTACTCCACTCCACTCTGGAGTGCGCAGCCCGAACTCACCTTATATTAGATGTAAGAATAGAAATTAAGAGAGACAGAAACACGAAAATTCAGTGAACTCAAAAAATAGTATTGAACACAATATATCCCTTTTAGTAATGTTACTGGGAATACTGGGATATACGAAATGGCTTTAAGTTACGCTCAGGACAGTCACGAAAGTTCTGGCGCTAGGTCGCACAACTGATTTGTGCATTTTGTGTTTAATTCCATGTTTCGTAATCGTTAAATAAATGCAAATAGCACCATATTTTAAATTATATTTTTTTAAACGTTATTATGTGCTTATCATTTCAGATGGGGCAACTGTTTGTCAACTGACAGTACTTTTGATTTTTAGTCAGTATCGTTTGCAGTATCACTGCAGTACTTTTATTTTTCTATTGCTGGCAACACTGCGGTACACGGCCATTTCTGAATGCAACTCTTAGTCCGATAGGTTGGTTCGTACTTGTAGTTCGGTTGTGAATGTATTTTCAGGAAGACGAAAGGTAATCAAATTTGCACTATCTAACTTTAATTTGCTTCTAAAATAGTATATAAGTTTATTAAATCGCTTGGTGAGGTAAATGTAAATTAACAATTTATTTTATATTGTATGTACGAAATATTTCTTTCGTTTCATGCGATATCAGATACAAAATGGCCGTCAATTTTAAATGGTTTTAAATATTCGTTTTTTTTTTCATCTTTTAAGAGTGGTACATAAATACTATGGCTAACCTAAGTTAATATTACCATTTATAGATTTAAGATATGTATTTGACTATGTAGAGTAACTTTTGCAAAGTTTTCATGATATTTTTTTTAATACACGTGTTAAAAGATGGAAGAATATTTTCTTTTCTTACGGAAATTGACACAGGCTTTATTTTTATTTTTTATGAAAGAGAGGAAAGGACAG